TTTTTGAACAAGATTCGTATGTTATCATTTTGGTCACTTTATTCATGAAATGAAATTTTCATAATGATCAACTAAAATCAACTTTAATTATGTGTTTTTTTTATAGTAGCCTATAATATGCAAAGTACAATTTTCTATTTTCTAAATAATCTCTGATTCTGTCCTTTTCTCTGACATTTTAAGAGTGACTTGGGCTACAAAAGCTATTTTAGGTCTATAACAGTTTGGATAGTTGTTAATATGAGAGCTGTTCGAAATTATTTAAGAGATAGCCTAAGTATTGTGTTACTACATAAGTATCTCTCTGACCCTTTCACTTTTAAAAAAAAACTTTTAAACTTTTAAAAAAATTCACTTTTAAAATTTCGTGACAAAGTATAGTTTAAAAAGTCATAACTAAAAGTGTGCCATGCATATAATTCAAGCCAAGGCAGTAACCAATGTGCTTATCTAGCAAAATAACCGGATTATATTAACTGTGTCTTTCAAATGAACAGTATGTGATTTTATTATGGGTAGAACCGCCACTGCCTTTAAGACACGGACATCTGCAGCCGAGAGCTTTGGTTCTTTCTCTGATGATGCTGCAGTAAAACAGCTTTAAGGTCATCGATGACTGTGATATAAGAGAACTGGTATCTGATGCATCGGTGAGGTCATTTGGGAAGCCAGACAGCGTGTCAGTTATGCAATGCAGACGGCGTGGAGAGAGCGTGTGAGGCAAGACAGGACTCTGAACTTACAGGACCACACGGACCAAGACTTATCAAACCTGCTCCGTTCCCTAAAAGTCAAATCATCAGTATCAAAGTGCATGTCCTTAAAAAGTCCAGAGCACAATCAAATATCTTGATTGTATAACATCTGTTACAGCATTAAATCAATGGAAATGCAAGCTTTCAGGAGCGCAGGCATTCGAAAGCACTCCCGAACAAAAGGATGATCAACTCATTTAAAATAAACAGGAGATAGCAAGACGAGACAGTTTTATTTTAGTATCATTGAGATACTGTTATAGTTTTTCTGTAGCCCTCAATTGAGTCATGACAATTTTACTTAATAAAAAAAAAGTTCCCTTCATCTTTTCATACATTATCTATCTATGCACACACACACACACACACACAAAACTGGGCTTGATTCGGTTGTTCTGAAGGTATGTAAAAAAAATGTTTACACTTCTGGTCTTTGGGGTCAATATGACCCCACATCAGGGGTGTGCAAACTTTTTGGCTCAAGGGCCACACTGGGTTTTAAAATTTGACAGAGGGCCGGCCCAGTGGCAGATTATACCAGCAAACACATTTACGTGGGTCACGTAATTTACATGGTATATTAATTTATATGCTATAGATATCCCCATTTAGCATTGTTATATTTTGGGGTTATTTTTTTTATTTATTTTTAAATTTATTTTAGTTTAGATTTAATATATTGTTTATCCTTAGTATTATTTAATGAGCCTAACAGTAAATTAGAAACAAAACACCAGCGAGTGTACACTTAGTAGAGTAAAAATTAGAGAAGGTTACATTAATTCAACTTTAATAAAACTCCATATGGTAATCAAAATGCACTTAATACACATACATTTGTGAAAAAATAAAATAAAAATAAACAAATTAACCAATTTATTTTAAGTATGATCAATAAAACGTAAAAATCAAAAGCAGATAAGAGCATTTATTGAACAAAACCGGTTTCTGTACATGGCAGAGACGGGAGCATTGTCGAAAGCCGGTGTTCTGACAATTCATGCTACCCATCGAGATTTCCTACTTACCGGTTATGCGCATGTGCAGACTCACAGTTTTTTTTTTAGTTTTTTTTTTTTTACAAAAGGTACATTTTCCAGTTATAATGTATAATTTCCCTTTAAAAAATGCTTACTACCATATGAATATTTGTACGGTCAGCCAGCAGAAAAGGAATAACTGAAAGTTTCAGTTACTATAAGAAAAGGTGTAAGTTACTTTGACAAGTCAAAGAAGAATATTTTATGATAATTTTTACTTTTCACACCGTTTTAAAAATAAAAACAGTAGTCTACAGTATACAGTAGCTACTCATAACTTAGAATTGTATTAGAATTGTATTTCATACGACTTTAATCGGCATTCTGTGATCAATTCGCGCTACGGTAGCATTTTTCGACAAGGCAGCAAAAATCGACAGAACACCGGGCGATAAAGGTCGGTAACCGGAAGCAGTCCAAGAGACAAATACAGAGGAGCAAAGAAACTAAATATCAAATGAAAAACTAAAAAAATCAAATGAAAACTAATCAGGCGTACAAGTGGTTACTAACATTTTTTTTTCTCTGTGAGTTTCCAAAAAAGGAAAAAACATTACCGTGCAACAAGGAGCCTTGAAATGAAATGATTCAATGATTCAAATGTCGCTGAAATGTCAATGATTCAATCGTGCCAACGTTCTGTTTCCAGGGATATTAGTTATAAATTGACAAATGACAAAAAACGGTCTGACTCTGCAGCGTGAGCTTTGCAATGCAACCGTTATTTATTCACTGTATGGTTTCCATGGTGACGCGTGCTTGTCACGTGACACACCGCAGCACAGCCACAACTGCTCTGAATGAATGATGATCTGCTTTATTGAAGTATTGCAGGAAAAAGGCAAAATGAATGTGTGATGGGGATGTTGGTTCGGTGAATGGGTGATGGAAGAAGACACAGGGTTGGCGATGGCGAATACTGGGGCTCGTGCACTTTATTGAGTTACTTACAGCGCTTGCTCGCGCTCACACAGTTAATTCAGAATGTTTCAAAAATAAATCACATATAAAACAGTACTCTTCCGGATTAAACAGCCTAACGGGTATGTGGCCCACATTGAAATGAATGGAAAATGTGAAAAAAACTAAATTAATTTTCTTCATGTGTCCAAAAAAAAAAAAAAAAAATCCGGCATAAATCTGAAAATTTTAACACAGAAATGAAGGCCTAGTACTACAGCATGAATGCAATGTATCGTAAAAAATAATATTTCATATATGCAAGGCAAGCTAATGGTGTAGTTGAGGAATTGTGTGGTATATGGATACAGAAGTACTTTATATCTCCAAAAACACAGCATTAATGAATAGAAAAAAATGAGATATTATTTGTATGATTAAAAATGTATATTTTTTGTACCATTACTCAATCAATTGTTGGGGTCGTATAGACCCCGAAGCCCAGAAGTGTAAACAAGACCACTTGAAGGTTAATATTGAGTTTATAATTTTGTCCTATTCATTCAAGGAGAATCACTCAAGGGGAAAACTTCAAACGAGTTTATAATAATGTGTGTATTGAGAAGAAATTTGGTATTTTTGTGTCCAAGCACTCATATTTTCTGTTTCATGTCCGTTTTCTGACCCATTTCTGATTTTAGATTTTAAACAAGCCATTTTTTTTTTTATTGTTGCATGAAAATGTGAAATATCAGCTACGGACTGACAGATTCATAAAATAATCTGCACTCAAATGAGCCTCATTGTAATTTTTAATCTCAATTGACGTCGTTGACACAACCTGAATGATGTAATATGTAATATGTCACAGTTTACTTTATTTTGATCTCCTCACTTACATAAGTGAACTGTCCTGCACACACTTGTAAAACCCTATCAAACATTATACAGGGATGCAAACACATGTAGGGTCAAAAAAAGAGAGAGGTAATCGAAACCCTCGCCCGCGGAAAATATCCAGATACTTATATTGCCACAAACCCCTGCCATCCCCGACCCACCCCTGGGCACATAGTAAATATGTTTCAGCCTTTAAACCATTTTTTTTACAAAAAAAAAAAAGAAAAAAAAAAAGGGGGTTTATAAAAAACAAAACTCACATATTTCAGCCTATAAATCATTTTTCACAGAAAAAAAGGTGTTATAAAATGATAAACCTCCCATATTTCAGCATTTAAATCATTTTTTATAAAAAGAGCGAGTCTAAAAGCTTATCTTTTATTAATAGTAAAATCCGGTCCCATTTTCCCGTGGTGTCTGTTGCTAAGCATCCATGCACTGTGCTCTCCACAATAACAAAGAAGTTTTAGTAGCTAATAGATATTCACTACCGAAAAAGGCTTTATTTGTAAATACATGGTTTTATAATCACTATAGTCCCGAATTTGAGGCAGGGTAGTTAGGGGGGTTCGGGATTTCCCCGAGAAAATTTTGGATTTTTCTAAACTACAGATGTGCATTTTAAGATATTGTGTAGGCAAAAAAAAAAAAAAAAATCGACAACAGCTTTAAAACCATATCAGTGAGCTGATTATTTTTCTCTCCTCGTCAGCATCACACTCTTTTTCTCTTTTTTTTTATCTTGCCCTCCTAAAGTTGGCTTTTTTTTTTAAATTTACTAAAGGCTACAATTTATATTTTATTCTCAATATGTACACATTAATTATTAATCCTGTGCCTAACATGATGAAAACAGCTTTGTTCATGTTTCTTGTCCCCTCACAACTACGTTACATAGGCCTATTTTCAGTTCAAAATGGCAAAATTAGACAAAACTATATTAGTTTGCCTAATTATTTTTTGTCATTCGTTTAACATTTATGACCTAAAAAACCTGTCAAATATATAAAGCTAATTTTAGCTACTTACATCTCATCTCGCACTTGACCGTACACTGAAGCATCGAGTTGCACTGTTAAAATTTGCGCTAAGCGTCTGTGAATATAAAGCCCGCCTACTTTGATTTGATTGGTCATCTCAAATATTCTGACATTGACGAGCGGTGACAGACCAAAATAATCAGACCCCCCCCCCCCCACCTCAAAAAAAATCTCTTCGGATCTGCACGATTCACACAAGTCACCCAAAATGACGTGAAAAAAGCGGGAGGCGCCGAAAAGCGTGCTGTTTGCATCCCTGATTATATCTGGTGTCTGACTCGTTTGTGGTTTGACTGTATGTGAAATGCGATCGCTCATGATGTGACGGCTTCATGTAAGGTGTGTGTTTGTGATTGGGAACACACCTCGTAGAACATGTAGAGCGACAGCAGCGTCAGGCAGAGGTTATACGGCACCAGCACGGCTCTGCACGAGTACGGCTTTCGGTTCTTCATGTATTTCGGCCCCATCCACACAATCAGAAGGTACAGAGCGGTGAAGGTAATCGTGGGGATGTAGTTTTCCAGCAGAAGCCATCCTTTAACCCGAGGGTCTGTGAATGAGAGAGCACAGGAATCCTCTATACGTGTCCTCAGTGTTATACTGTAGGGGGCGCTGTTACACATCTACTGAAAGAGTGCAGAATATCCTATGGATGCTTGTTTCCACCACTGAATAAAAAAAATTTAATTGCGAATTTTTATCTCACAATTGCGAGATATAAAGTCGCAATTATGACTTTGTATTTTGCAATTATGACTTCATATCTCGCAACTCTGACTTTATATCACGCAATTCTGACTTTATATCACGCAATTATGACTTTATATCTCGCAATTCTGACTTTATATCTCGCAATTCTGACTTTATATCTCGCAATTATGACTTTATATCTCGCAATTCTGACTTTATATCACGCAATTATGACTTTATATCACGCAATTATGACTTTATATCTCGCAATTCTGACTTTATATCACGCAATTATGACTTTATATCTCGCAATTCTGACTTTATATCTCACAATTCTGACTTTATATCACGCAATTATGACTTTATATCTCGCAATTCTGACTTTATATCTCGCAATTATGACTTTATATCACGCAATTATGACTTTATATCTCGCAATTCTGACTTTATATCACGCAATTATGACTTTATATCTCACAATTCTGACTTTATATCACGCAATTATGACTTTATATCTCGCAATTCTGACTTTATATCACGCAATTATGACTTTATATCTCACAATTCTGACTTTATATCACGCAATTATGACTTTATATCTCGCAATTCTGACTTTATATCACGCAATTATGACTTTATATCTCGCAATTATGACTTTATATCACGCAATTATGACTTTATATCTCGCAATTCTGACTTTATATCACGCAATTATGACTTTATATCTCGCAATTCTGACTTTATATCACGCAATTATGACTTTATATCTCGCAATTCTGACTTTATATCTCGCAATTCTGACTTTATATCACGCAATTATGACTTTATATCTCGCAATTCTGACTTTATATCACGCAATTATGACTTTATATCTCGCAATTCTGACTTTATATCACGCAATTATGACTTTATATCTCGCAATTCTGACTTTATCACGCAATTCTGACTTCATATCTCGCAATTCTGATTTCATTTCTCGCAATTCTAACTTTATATCTCACAACTCGGAATTTATTTCTCGCAATTCTAACTTTATATCTCACAACTCTGACTTCATATCTCGCAATTCTGACTTCATATCTCGCAATTCTAACTTTATATCTCGCAACTCTGACTTCATATCTCGCAATTCTGACTTCATATCTCGCAATTCTGACTTCATATCTCGCAATTCTGACTTCATATCTCACAATTCTGATTTTATATCTCACAATTCTGACTTTATATCACGCAATTATGACTTTATATCTCGCAATTCTGACTTTATATCTCGCAATTATGACTTTATATCACGCAATTATGACTTTATATCTCGCAATTCTGACTTTATATCACGCAATTATGACTTTATATCTCACAATTCTGACTTTATATCACGCAATTATGACTTTATATCTCGCAATTCTGACTTTATATCACGCAATTATGACTTTATATCTCACAATTCTGACTTTATATCACGCAATTATGACTTTATATCTCGCAATTCTGACTTTATATCACGCAATTATGACTTTATATCTCGCAATTATGACTTTATATCACGCAATTATGACTTTATATCTCGCAATTCTGACTTTATATCACGCAATTATGACTTTATATCTCGCAATTCTGACTTTATATCACGCAATTATGACTTTATATCACGCAATTATGACTTTATATCTCGCAATTCTGACTTTATCACGCAATTCAGACTTTATATCTCACAACTCTGACTTCATATCTCGCAATTCTGATTTCATTTCTCGCAATTCTAACTTTATATCTCACAACTCGGAATTTATTTCTCGCAATTCTAACTTTATATCTCACAACTCTGACTTCATATCTCGCAATTCTGACTTCATATCTCGCAATTCTAACTTTATATCTCACAACTCGGAATTTATTTCTCGCAATTCTAACTTTATATCTCGCAACTCTGACTTCATATCTCGCAATTCTGACTTCATATCTCGCAATTCTGACTTCATATCTCGCAATTCTGACTTCATATCTCACAATTCTGATTTTATATCTTGCAATTATGACTTCATATCTCAAAATTCTGACTTTATATCTCAAAATTCTGACTTTACAACACGCAACTTCGACTTTATATCACACAACTCTGACTTTATATCACGAAACTCTGACTTTATATCACGCGATTCTGAGAAATAAAGTCAGAATTGAGAGATAAAAAGTCACAATTACCTTCTTTAATTTTCATTCTGTAGTGGAAACAAGCTTCCATAATCTCCTGATCAAAACACAGGCGAAGAAGAAGCAGAACTGAGCGATAGCATATGGAAGCAGATACATATACGTAAAATAATGCCATCAACAACATCTAATATTCATACAACAAAATATTCTGAGGGCGATGAAATTTTTGTGAAAATGGACAAAAAGCCAACTTTTTTTTAAAACACTGGCGGGGAAACGTTGAAATAAATGCTGCTTGTTTGAACTTTTGGTTTATCAAAAAAAAATCTTGAAAAAGGGTCACATTTCCCACACAAATATGAAGCAGCACAACTGTTTTCAACATTGATAATAATCAGAAGTGTTTCTTGAGGAAGCGATAGAAGCATTGTGTACGCACAAGTAAAATAAAGTGATCATCACAAACTCAACAGCATATACATTATAAACTGCCTAATGTTTCTGAACGAGATGTCGTCCGAGGACTGTGGAGCTTTAGAGGCGTCGATGGACTGAATCCAGTTGGGGACAAAAACACACTTTTCTCAGCTGTTTTATGAAACGTATCCACATTCAAGTGTAGATAAACAAAAGTTACATATATACACACAGTAGTCAACATTTGAAGTGGATCAAAACCTTTCATAAAAGTTATACATTAAATTTAAACAACACACGAGATTGTGTTAAGACAACTTTGATTTGAACTTTTTTTGATCCACTTAAAATGTTCACTACTGCATGCATATATATATATATATATATATATATATATATATATTAGGGCTGTCAAATGATCTATATAATGATGTATATAAATACACACAGATGCTTGTATATACAGTATTTAAGAAATATTTTCATGTATATAGTGTATATAGATTTATATATAATTTATATTATATAGAAATATAAATATTTTATATAGAAATAATATTTTTTTCTTAAATATACATGCACGTGTGTGTATTTATAAATAAACAAAATAATTACACAGCACCCATATATATTACGTAAACACAAACTTTTATTTTGGATGCGATTAATCGTTTGACAGCCCTAATATAAATATAAATATATATATATATATATATATATATATATATATATATTGTATTTTGCCATGAAAGTGTTGTGAAAATCATCAAAAACCATGCTTAAAAAAATACAGTTTCCCATAACTGAGAGGCAGAGTATGTGATGTTTACTAAGCAATATTTTCAGTCTGGAACACAAGTTTACAAGATACTGGTTTGATACATGAGCACTTTTAGGTTAAAACAATCACTGGATTTGTCAAAGTTTATTTGAAACCCATTAGAACCACTTGCTTGGCCGTGTGAGACATTATTAAAATCATTAGCGTGCACTAATATAGTTTAAACTATTAAAATAAAGCAGTAATATGTTCTGTTTAGAGGATTCAGGAACACATCATAAAGAAAAGCGAGTTATAAAGTTCAGTTTTGGTCTTACCCCGGGGTCCCATCCAAGACTCGATGTAAGAGTTAACTCTGTGGTTAATGGCCTCCATCTTCAACCTTCGAGACAAAATTATATGAAGATTATATTTCGCACACACATTTAAGATGTCCGTGAACGTCCTAGAACATAATAAAACATGTTAAAAGCCAATTGAAGTTAACTTAATAAATCCTTGTTGGAGCACGTATTGATTACAGCAATAAAAATGGCCGCCTACAGCAAGGACTACCATCCATCAGGGTTTAATTCTCTTCATTCGCTTATTTGTCGCACAGTAAAGGTCAAGAAATGGTGCGTAGAAAGATCCTGAACCCAGAAACACTTTCCCAGCAGGACTAACCATGAGAAGACACGAGCACAGAGAAACGCAGGTTTACATCACTCGAGCCATCAGATGCAAGAAAAGCTTTTATACCACGGATACAAGAGCTCTTTACAAAAAACAAAGGGCTCAAACCCACACAGAAAGTGTATAACAGCTCACACACACTATTTATTTAAAATACATAAGAAATTAGGCTACATTTCACAGCCTACTGTACATAAGAGGAAGGAAATTGCCAATGTTAAAAACAAAAAGTAGGTGAATGATGAAACAAATTGGCTTAATTTTCTTTCTTTTGATTTAAGGGTTATTGAAAGGTGTTTATTGAAATATTACGATGTATAAAAATCCATCATAAAATATAAAAAAAACTATAAAAACTCTCCTGATGCCAAACTGTCAGTATTACCACGCATTCATCATAAAGTTTTCATTTTTACTTGTGCATGATGACTATGATTGCAATTTGGAGATATAATACACTCAGAAACCCATTTACAATGATTGATTTAAAATGAAATTAAGTTAAAACGTAATGAATCATGCATGTAGGACTGCTGTCACTGATGTACGCATGTTGCTTTAATACAACATATGATCCAAAACTGACACATTTCAAGAGCATTCAGAACCGTGAATCAAAGTCTTCCCCATAAGATCAACTAAAGATCGGCTTCACCTGACATCATTAAATCATAACGCTTGTAATATTTAATAAAGTCATATGATGCTCGACTCTTCCGCGTTCGCGAGGTCACGCGCATCATCCGGCCCCAGAACGCGCACTTTCAGATGGCATTCGTGTGTTTAAATCTCTTTAGCGGTATGAATCTTACCTTTAGTCTTCTCGGATATTGGTTGCGTTATCTTCAGGGCTCGGTGCTGTCACTGTGCGGGGTGTGTCGTCAGTGTGAACGCGTGGAAAGACCTCGGGAACTAAAGAGCGTCATGAGTGTCTGTAGCCCGCCTTTAAACTGATGCGTGTAACGGAACGCGCGCTTAAACTGACGCGCGAGGGCAAAGTCTGTGCGCACTTCACTTTATCTGCAAATTTAAGAGTTCAGGAACGCTTTCTCACAACAGTGCGTGTTCGGTGCGTGTATAGACAGGTTAAAATATCAGGAAAACAAACTTTTCGAGTGATGACGTATTCACATTTGAAATGTCGTCACTCGTTTCAACTGGATTAAGAACGTGAATGTATCACTTCTGAAATCCATTATGGCGTTTTAAGAGAAAAGCACGCGTTCTGACAGCGTGTTTTAAGAAATATATGTATATTTTTGCGAGGCGTGAATTGTTGCAGCCAGGAACTGAAGTGTCACCCCATTCATCTGAAGTTAGAACGGACCAATCATAGCGCTGCTCTCACGTGGAACCAGATCTGGCCAGTCACAGCGCTGCTCTCATGCATCGAGCGCATCACGTGGTCCATGTTGAAGGGAACAATCACAGCGAAAGTTTTTTTTATTTTTATTTTTTTTTATTGCATGAACAACAATTTGAACAGAAAATAAATTTAAAAAAAAAAATTACAAAAAAAGGTACAAAAATAAAAATGCCAGGGTTAAAGATACACAGGTACACAATACAGAAATTGAATGAAAACAATACTAAATTGACCAAACAAACCATAAAGGCTTTGACATTTCACAAAATCTGAAAAGTATTTAACAAATACATGGTTTTAACAGCTTTTTTTATTTGCACTGTCCTTAATGGAAACCATATAATTCTCTAATTCTTTCAATAGCACAGAAAAAAAAGGTTTCTGATTAGTAAATTTACACCGATGAATATGAAATTTACCTAAAATAATTAAGAGATTAATAATATATGCTTCCTTTTCCATGTTCTTTTCATATTGTAAAAAACCAAATATTACATGCTCATATAACAAAAGAAAATTACATCCCATCACAGCGAAAGTGTCACAGATTCCACCAAAAGTGCTCACGTTGCCCACACAAGCATGTCACTTTTTGTTTTAAAGCTTTGGTTAATAATTATTATTTATATAATTACTATATTGTCATTTCCCCTAAGCTCTTGTGAATGTTTATGTGGTATTTTGTTGAACAAAAATGTCAGTAAGCATTAAAAGACGGCCATACAAGTGAACTCTGGTCTATCAGTGTGCTGATTCTTTATAATGCAGTGATACAAAGTACTATCTTTAGCATATAATATTTTAAACACCCACTTAAAGTCCCAGTGAAGTGCCTTGAAACTGATAGCATTATTCAGTGTTGACCGGCCCCTCCCCCAAAACGGCCATTGTCCAATCACACATCATAGCAACTGTTACTATGTGAGCAGGTCCGTCAAACAAAATGGTCAGTAGCAGTGCAGCGTCTTATCTTAACGAATAAAAATCACCTTAAATAACGTATGGTTATCTGCATCTTTCCGTCTCTTATGTATAGTTACTTTTTAAACAGGAAACTCACATTCAGCATGACATGCAAGCGGTTGCCATGGTAATGAACATCCTGCTTGTTAAAGCGAATGTATAATTCTGTATCTGAGGCAAAAATTACTAAATATGCAGCGCGAGTTATGTATTTCTAACTCCAAACAATTAGCCACTGAACCAAATCTTCTTCATGGCTGTGCTGGTTGCATTTGAGATACAGGTCATGGGGTTTCTTAGATTTTGCTTGAGACCGGTAAGCATTCACCTCGATACAGTCCCGTCTCCTTAATTGCGTATTTTTATATTTTGAATAAATCCTCAACTGCATGTTTTAACCCTTTGTGCCTCGAACTGGAGGATATAGCGGAGGTATTGCTCCAAAAAAGGTCACTGACCCTCACTTGTACCTCTTGGTCCTCTTCCCATCATGCAATCCGTCGCGCTGGTCGTGTTTGACCTGGGGGCGTGGCCTTTTCGGACGGTCAATTTCGACTATAGCCAATAGCGTTTAGTTTATATCACAGTTCGGCCAGAGCCGTTGAGTTCGTTAAAGCCGCAGTTTGTGGTTAGCTCGTCTACATCTTTTTATAAGAATTCAAATGATCCGATACGTTTTCTGATCTGCCTCGACTCGATCACATGATCTGTGCTGGACCGAAGCAGCGGTTCACAAGACATAAACCCCAACTTCATACAGTATATGAATTGTTCCCTATCCCCTATAGTAAGTGCACTATATGATATTCACCATGTAGAAAACAGTAAATATGTGAATAAGTGACTGATTTGATTCAGCTGCTTCGTCTGTTTACAATGAAGGGGGCGGAGCTTCAGATTCTAGAGAGCATTTGATTGGAAAGAGAAAACCTAATGAGAAGCTGAAGTGCAGAGTGATGTCATCAAAATCACTGATCCATAGTGGCAAAAAGTGAGACTAAATTCAGATGAAATCTTCTAAATTTGATTTTTGTCATTGTTTTTGAACAACAGTAAGGTGAACATAATACATTATAAAATGTATTGCCTATTTAGTAGACACTGGGTAATCCTGCAGTTGTCTTAGTTTAGATGGCGATGTGATTATCTGTAAGTTCACCCGTTTCTTATTTATTTCTCTCTAGCTCCATAGAATATAATGATATCCTGATAAACACAACATCGAGGACTTCAAGCATCACATGCGAACGTTATTCATTAATTCACACAATCTACAACAGTAATACTCACGTTATTAAGGGAGCTTATATAATACAGTCTTCATTCAGGCCCGTCCATGAGGAGTTTGTACAAAGATCCATTTTACTGAACCTCACGGCAGAATAGTGTGAAGTTACTGGCTATTGCAATGCTTGTAAAACTGTAAATGAAACAATACGCAGTGTTTTACACAATCTGTGTTTAATCTGTTCATTGAGAAGCTGCACACCAAAAGTCTTAATATAGCTCATTTATACTGTATGTTAAGCTTTTATTGCTTCCATGACAGCAGACACATTTAATGAATTGAAGAATTGCAGACCCAAAGCTTGAATGAAAGGTCTAGAAAAGACATTGTTGGCCACTCGATAAGCTGAAAATATGTACAGGAATCATTTTATTTCAAGCCATATACAGACTAACAAACTACAGAATAATGTTAATCTAATTCATTTAACCATTATGGTTTTAAAAAGAGCCTCTGCGCCCTCTAGTGGTGGAGACAGCTGAACACAACCGCAAAACCTCAACTAACATGATATAATGTAGCGGTCCATCAAACAATAAAATTATTCAACAAAATTTGTTAGTGAAAAACACAATGCACTGCACACTTCTATGCTCGTCTACATGCGTTTAGTAAAAGAAGAACCGACAGTTTCATCCATAAAAAAGAAGGAAAGTACACTTGTTAATGGCTGATGAAGTACGGGTATTTACACTTCGACAATGAAAATATTACTAATGTACAATTTAGTGTTTGCTACATTTATATAATCTCTCACACACTCAGACCGGAGTGAAATATGTACACATTCGGGTACAATTGCATCATGGATCTGTTTAAGCTATTAAAATAATTTGTGAATAATAAAAAAATCTCCTATTTACAAATTCAACAAACCTTTGGCCGACCTCAGCAATCAACACATGCTATTTAGAAGTTGTAGTATTTTTCTGGACTGCCATCACATACTTGGTCTTTCGCTCTCATGCAAAGCAGCTTTTTGTTTATTTATTTTTTTATATATGTCTGATTCGCGTTGGTTTGGAGCGGGCTTTATTTCCCTCTGTTAACCGGCTCTCCGATCAGCTCGGGACACTTCTCCTCCCCCTTGGCGATTCGGTCGCACTTGTGAAGCAGGTCGTAGTTGATTTTGTCCGTGATGACACTGTCCTGCTTGTACTGAGGATGTTTGGCCACAAATTCCCTCATCCACTTCGCCATAGTCATCAGCTCACCTGAGAAAAACACAAGAGCAAATACAGGTGAACATCGTGCAAAAGTTCACTAATTCAACTTAAAGGTGAAACTAATGTATTATATAGACTCATTACATGCAAAATGAGATATTTCAAGCCTTTATATGTTATGATTATGGCTTACAGATATGAAAACCTTTTCACAATATTCTAATTTTGAAATTTGGGGTTTTCATAAGCTGTAAGCAATAATCATCAAAATTATAACAAATAAAGGCTTGAAATATCTCACTTTATGTCGGCTCTCTCGCGTTAGAACGCAATGTTCAATTAGCCGACAATTAATTTAATTGAGTAAATTCTAGTCGACAATTAATCGATAATCGGTTAACCGCTTGCATCCCTAGCTTCTACTGTAAGTTTTATTGAAGCCCAATTCAGTCGCCTTTTAAAAGTTAGCAACTACACATGATTGTACAGAAACAACTAAAACAGTGATTGATAAAGAAAAAAATACATAAATGTAAAGCACACAAAACTGTAATACTTGCAGAAAGCAGTGTGGAAATACTGTAACTCATTTGCATACCGGAGGCGCGCTTCTTAATGAGTTTCAGATAGTTGAGGATTGTGCATCGCGTGTCGACGTCCACCTCCATGTTCTCCAGGTAGCTGTTCAACATCGGGATCAGCCCGTGAAACACCCCTTCCTGAACACAACAACACACACACTCAGCATGGCTGACACACACTTACAGACGGGTGAAGAGCGGAGAAACACACACCTTCCCGTTGATGATGGTGTCGATGCTCATGAGTGTGAACTCCTCCCCGTCGCTCGCCTCGCTCTCCACCCCGTTCTGAGCCGCGGACGGCGGGTCCAACATCGGGTTACAGCCTGAAGATTAGATTCATCAACACTAAATCAGGGGTCTTCATCTCACAGGACATGATTCTGACGTAAACGGCTGTCGGCGCTTCAGGAGAAAATGTTTGTGGTTATGATTGAGGCGAGTTGATTAGTTGACCCTGGACCACAAAACATGGGTCAAATTTTAGAAATTGAGATTTATACATCATATGAATAAGCTTTCCATCGATGTGTGGTTTGTTAGGATTGGGCAATATTTGGCCGAGATACACAAATATTGAGAAACATTGAGAAAATCGCCTAAAGTTGTTCATTTATGTTGGCGATTTTGCGGCGTTCACTCTCAGAAATAAATCTTCTACATATTTACGGTAGAAATTTAACAAAAAATCTCCATGGAACATGATCTTTACTTAACATCCTAATGATTTTTGGCATTAAAGAAAAATCGTTAATTTTGACCCATATGTGTTGATGCCACAGATATACCCGTGCGGCTCGTGACTGGTTTTGTGATCCAGGGTCACATATGTTTAGCCATAGCATATGCTTACAACAGATGTGCGTATATGTGAGATAATTGTGTGATTATGTAAACGAACCGGTTCATTAAAGCAAAGTTTCCGAAAGAACCAGTTCACGGAAAATAATCGGACTTCCCATCACTAATGAACACCCACAGTGGAGTCATTTTACATCCGCTTTCACAAATTTACTGATTTAAAAAATAAAATTTCCCAAAAACAAAACTTTAAATGTCAAAAAAGTTAAATGTCAAGTCCTGGTCATCCTAGAGACGTCATTACAGAAATTAATTACATGCAGTTATTGATACATGTTTTTATATTTGACTTGTATGTACACAAGTGCACTGTAGCAAACAATTCATTTAAATGTGTTCATAGTAGTTAAAGGAGTAGTTCACTTTAAAAAAAAAAACTTTTGCTGATAATTTACTCGCCCCCATGTCATCCAAGATGTCCATGTCTTTCTTTCTTCAGTCGAAAAGAAATTAAGGTTTTTGATTAAAACATTCCAGGATTTTCTCCATATAATGGACTTCAATGGGAACCAAACGGTTCAAGGTCCAAATGAGAGTTTCAGTGCAAACTGTTCAAAGGGCTTTAAACGACTCCAGACGATGAATAAGGGTCTTATCAAGCGAAACGATCGCTCATTTAATAAATAAATAACAAAGTTTAAGTTTTATAAGCTCAAATGCTCGCCTTGCTCTGTTCTGTGATGCGCGTTCGTGACTCTCCTGTTCGAACTCGTTCATCAAAATGAATGAATCTTTTTCAGAGTCAATTCATTTGTTTAGTTGATTGAATGAACCAAACGCCTCGGAAAAAGATTCATACATTTTGATGAACGAGTTCGAACAGGAGAGTCACGAACGCGCATCACAGAACAGAGCAAGGCGAGCATTTGAGCTTATAAAACTTAAACTTTGTTATTAATTTATTAAATGAGTGATCGTTTCGCTTGATAAGACCCTTATTCATCGTCTGGAATCGTTTAAAGCCCTTTGAACAGTTTGCACTGAAACTCTCATTTGGACCTTGAACCGTTTGGTTCCCATTGAAGTCCATTATATGGAGAAAATCCTGGAATGTTTTCATCAAAAACCTTCATTTCTTTTCGACTGAAGAAAGAAAGACATGGACATCTTGGATGACATGGGGGCGAGTAAATTATCAGCAAAAGTTTTTTTTCAAAGTGAACTACTCCTTTAAAGACACTTAATATAGTAAATGTGGAACCAGCATGCACCGTCACACACACATCCACATGAGTTCAGTCACACACGCGCACAGCTGATATAAATGATGATGACCTCCGACTTTACGGTCAACCAACCTTTAAAGACGTCCTTCCGAAAGTAAAACATGCCTTCTTGCACGGCATTTCGCTTCTGAGCAACTTTCATATTTTCATCGACCTAAACCAAAAGAGTTGCAAACAAATTACAAAAATACAAATGTCTTGCATGCACACTTCTAATCGGCATCTTTAGATATGCACAGCATTTCTGCCAATTAAAATCATCCCTAGAATCACTTTTTCTGCTTAAAATGCTAAACGTGTCAAACACACACACACACCTTTGATAATGGAATGAGGAAATCCAGCTTATAGGACAAGATCACACGGGTGAGGAGAACGATAAATACGACATACGCGGAGTTCTCAAAATCTGTGAGTTGGACCTGTAAAACAAGAAAAACGTTTTACACATGATAATATGCATTTCATGTTTATGCAAATAAACCCAAAAAATGTGCAAACAATAGGGTGAATTTCACAATATCGGTCAAGATCGGGTCAAATGTTTGGATGGATGGACGTTGTGCTTTTGCATTATTTTGAATGAAATATTGAAGTTTATGAATAAGTGTTTTGGCCGAGTGGCCGATCGGGTTTTAATATTGACATGTTAAATTAGCCTTCGACGAACACGTTGGGAGTGTTTTCCTCATAACATTGGGAAGAACTTAAAATACTCCGTCGTTTTAATGTTAGAGTAAAGCCCTATTCGCTCGGGATAAGTATTATCTGGTGACCTCTAGTCATTTAATAATTGTGGAGATTGTCTGAGATCTTAATCCCGTGCGAATCGGCCATGTCTGTAATTTGTAAAGTAAAAATTCCCCCGCAAATTACCTACTATATTTGGCCGAACACCGAGGTCCTGTGATCATATTAGTCCCGTGCGAATCGACATCTCTGTGATTTGGCCGGATCGTATATCATTTTTTCAAGGTTTTTGTTTCATCTGCGTCTTTTTATCCATCTTTCGCGGAGGCTGATTTGGAGTGTTTTGATATTATTTTGGGTGCGGGGTCATATCGCTAGTACAACTATTCAATTTGCAGAAAGAGAAAGCTATACCATCAGAAGAGCAAGAACAAAAAGAACGATTAGATGGAGATGAATGACATGTTTAGTAGGATATGGTAAGGACAATTCTTCTGTTTATTATATACAGCTAAACATAATAACGACAAGACATTTCAAAGCTATAGCCTAATGACATCATATCCGGGAGATAAGTCAGTAAATTCGTGTAAAATCACAGGCTTCGCTTATCCTGTGCGAATGAGCCACACGAAATTCAGACGTGGGTGGGTAATTTCAAATTCACACGTGGTCCCCAGGTAATACTAATCCTGTGCGAATAGGGCTTAAGACATCATTACAAACTTTATTTTTAAACTCCCATTATCACAACAAAACGTGATGCTTTTGTAAAATAAAGAAAAAACAACCACAATCAGGATACGCTTCACAAACATGAAGTGAAACTTTCTGTACACATGCCTCATTAACTCTGAGAATTATCTAAAGAAGCGGGAAATGTAGATAACCAATTCACATCAAAATGAATTTTGAAATCTAATATGAGACCAGCGAGAGGTACAGAGGTATCTGCTCAAACGCACATGTTTATAATGTGTATGAGCAATTAAAAAAAAGAAATAATCAAATGGCACACACTATATAACGAATCTGCACAAACATGCATTGCTTAAAATGGCATATAAATCTAGATAATAGAAGTAGTAACTTAATTCAGATAGGAATACGATAAGTACGATGCTGTTGGTGATAACACTACATTTATTTTTAATTATTTTTTGGAATTTGATCATTTTCCACGGCACACCTGACAGCCTAATACCACAGTAGTGGTTGGGAAACAAGCATTAGAGAGAAATCTGCTCTACTCCATGAACTCAAATGTAAAAATGGATTAAAATATTTCATGTTCTGATCATAAAATATTTCATGTTCACTAATTCTTATTCTATAAATGTCACAGGTGCGAGAAACACCCAGTGTTTTGGGATTTATTTTCAAGAATAAAAAAAAAATATTTCAAAAAACATCCCCCTCTGCGCTTTCACACTCACACACACACACGTCTAAGCTCTGCTAAGCACACAGTCAGTCGAATCACACACACACACACACACACTTAATACCTCCATGGGGCGAAACTCGACTCTCCACCCGATGTCGGAGTTCGGAGGCGGGGGCTTGAACCTCATGGTCTGCCAGTTGGTTGACTGAAGATTCTGGAACATACACAATAACCCGCGGTTCATTCTCACGAGCTTTATGAACAAACCGTTCCAACTACGTGGCTAATAGAGAGCCTAAGTCCCGCCCCTCCGCTTCCAGCTCATGGGACCTTATTTCGGGAAAAAATATGAATGGTAGTCAATGGCGAGAGACAACTTATCTTTTTATTCCGTCTGAACTGTGCCCTCAAATACACATACGATGTTTGTCAATTTAAAAGATAATTCTGAAAGTCAAAAACGTCACAGTTTGTCATAAAACAGAAGAGTAACATTTAGTTTTATGTGAAAATCGCTCTGTGAACTACATCTCCCAGGAAGCGAAACAACGAGTGAGACTCGCTGCTCGTGTGTGTGCAGTCTGGTACAAAACACTCAGGTATGATGACGTAACGTTACGATTATAACGTAAGACTGTAGAAACAATGACAGACATCAGCCTCAGTAAAGTTAGCTTCATTCATTGAGAGAAAATGTGCGCCTGTGGGGTTTGTAGTCTTTGTAATTACGTATTTTGACAGTCTTATACCTCAACGGTTTTACATCAAACTTGCAACTTTCTTTACTTTAAAATGTATTTTTTAATTTCACAAACATTATATGTGTGATTCAGGGCACAATTCAAACCAGATTAAAATATTTGTTGTCTCTCGCCATTGACTACCATTCAATATTTTTCCGAAATAAGGTCCCATGGTGGTCGACCGGAAGGGGAGGGGCTCTCTATACACCGGTCTAATATTAACATTTCCTGTTTGTTAATGTTGATCAATTTGCAAGAACAGTAATTTGCATGTTCATTTTAAAGGATTAGTTCACTTCAGTTATAATGTCCTGATGATTTACTCTCCCCACGTCATCCAAGATATATTAATGTTTTTCTTTCTTCAGCCGAAAAGAAATGAAGGTTTTTGATGAAAACACTTCAGGTTCTTCCTCCTACGTCCCGCTTGACGTTTCAACCTGATTACATAATGTATGTCGCATCACAGCTAGTTCAAGACCAGCATTTGTGGTTCAAAAGTATATAAATGTGTATTTTGTTCTAAATGTCCGCTGGTTTGTCTAGATGAGACTCTTATTCCTCGAGACTTTGAATCTGCACTGAAACTCACATCTGGACCCCATTGAAGTCACTATAATTTCTTTTCGACTGAAGAAAGACAGACATGAACATGTCGGATGATGTGGGGAGAGTAAATCAGGACATTATACTTCTGAAGTGAACTGCTCCTTTGAATACCTCGAAGTGGTCCGATTCGTTCTCGTCGTCCAGGTGAATCTTCTCCTGGAAGAGCGACAGCGGGTCTCGGATGAAGAGGTGTGCGATGTGCTGGGCCAGCAGTTTGTCAATGCCTGCAACAGTGCGAAACACAGCGGCTTAAACACTGAACAGAGCTGACGAGAGCACAGTCGAGTGAACCAAACACATCAGGGGCTTTCGCTCCAGGGGATTATGGGTAAGAGCCTCCAGGGTGTTTCCTCGAGAACTAATGGTTCCCTTAGGAACGTTTCCGAAGTGACGTGAGACTCGTTTGACTTTGTGACTGCGCTGAGAACGACTGAGCTCGCATTCTCCGTGTTCATTAGTTTACGATCCGTCTCGTACGTTATTAGATAGAACCGTCTGTTATATACAGAAGGTAGACGGTAATGAACAGTTATTAGCGTATGCAGTGTGGTTGATGCCCACTGTTGCATAATCATGTTTCTCTTAGTCTCCTCAAAGTTTAGAGGTCCATCTATCACTGTTTTACATGTTCGTAGAGTTAGTTTGTCAAGTAAATATATAGGCTATAATCTGTGTTTACACAGCTTTGTAATAATGGCGAGTGCTTGTGTTTCGTGTGCGTTCGGCCAATCAGTGAACACTAACGTCTAGGGCTGGGTAATAAATATCGATTTATCTATATTAATCGATTCTCATTTTTACGAACCGATATCGATTCTTAAATCTCATGAATCAATTAGTCATCCTGTTTCATTTGAATGAATGGGTCATTGAATCGCGGCTGCGCACATCCAAAAAAAAAAAAAAAAAAAAAAAAAAAAAAATCGCAATAATCTTTGTCCTTTGTTACTATTGATATGAAACAAAGTCTCAATTTTCAAATTACGTCCATTTTCTTTAGAAATTCAAAAACATAAATAGGGTTTTGGCGCTGTGGCGTGAGATCGCTCTGGAGAAGCAGCAGCGCTGATCTCTCTTCCGGGTTAATAATACCAGTTACAGCGCTAAATAAACATGAATGAGCGTCTGAAAGTGTGTTAAAGATACAGTACAACTTATCCAAATCCGGATCATGTCACATTGATTCGCTCAATCAGCGTTTCAACCGTGGAAAGACGTCAGTTAAACAGCTTGTAATCAATTTCATCGTCATATTTACCTCAGAAAACCCACATAAACTCGTTAGTCAGCTAGAAAAAATAACTCTAGAGAGGAGCATTTTGCTAAATATATACACCATATTACATATGCATTATAATCTTAATGTTCTTCAATATTTAATGCATGTTTGAATAAATCTGGCAAGTTTTTATGACGGCCACCATTTAAATGTTTATATTTCACATAATCTTCTTATTATAAAAATAAATAAAAGTGTAATTTAAGTGTTTGTATAGCTACAAAACAGTTCATTATTACCTTCATATTAGGCTAATGAAGTCTATAGGCTACAACTAGACTCCCATAGTTTACAGCATTAGTTTAGAGATTTGATTTCCTTGTGAAAATTTGCCATTTATTGTAACTGATATCCAAAATAATCGATATTGAATCGAAATCGAAATCGAATTGCAAGCTTGTGAATCGAAATCGAATCGAATTGTGAAATTTGTGTCAATACCCAGCCCTACTAACGTCACTGTTGGTCCTATAGTTCTGCTTACTTTAGACCGACTCTGAAGTGTAGACCATTTCGCAAGATGTAAACAACACTGGTCCGGAAGCACTTCCTGTTTCAGTTTAACACTACATAAAAGCTGGGATAAAATACAACCAACAGAACATATAAAACTGAATCTTTAAGATGTTTTCTTTACATGTGAAGTAGCGAAAATAGTTACAAACTGAAACAGGAAGTGTTTCTGGACCAGTTCCTGTGGTGCGAACGCGCCAATAACCGGGAACTTCAATAGTTCTAGGAACTGAAACGTTTCCTCCGATGCAAAATCCCAATTATTATAAAAGATGCCCTCTACATTCACTTTCGACAACAGGACAAAGAAGAGGGTACAGGTCAACTTTTTGAGCAAAGTTGCTGAGCGATTGTTGCTCGGGCGCTTTCCCATTACATCCCTATCTGGATCATTTAGATCGGCTGCGTCTCATCACGTTCACTGAGGTCGATGTAGACGGGGTGTCAGCGTGTGTTTTTATTTTTATAGCAGAACGTATCGTCTGTGTGTGTTTACCTGCATCGAGGAGCTGTTTGTTGATCTCCTCGTCGATGGTCAGCTCAATGTCGTTGTATTTCTCGCCGCAGCAGGAGAGGTAGCTGTCGATCGAATCATACCTCGATTTATTGATCTTGAATTTGTTGTTTTTCAGCGGCTGCAAAGAAACAGAGAACAGAGTTCAGTTCGGCCTTCTAAATGTGGATGTGCGACAAGTGCACTCATGATAGAAAAAGTCCTAGGCCGTGTGTCCACCGAAGCGTTTTTATGCGTTCCTGGCGTATGTTTTCAATTGTTTTCAATGGGAGCGCCGCGTTTATTAAACGCCATGAGCGTAACGAGGCGCTGAGCGTTTTTTACTGGTCGCCGAGTGTTGGAGAATATTCAACTTTGGATAAAACGCAGCGCTCATCATTGTCACTTTTCACCCACCCATCCAATCACAGTGGAGGAGGGGCGGGGCTAATACCACATAGACCAACTGCCACAACATTCTTTCTGTACAACGGCATCAACCAGAACAACATGGATGAAAAATACTTTTTCCCCATTGCTGCAGCTCCTCTCTTTCCAGTCTGTGTTCCAGTCCAAACCAGTTCACTCGCTAACTACCCTCCGTCTCGTTCACTCGGATGTGCGCCATTGCTCACGTCGCACGAGTGCCCATTACTGGCAGAGCCTCTGCTATAGGCCGTAGTCATGAACCCTTCATCACTGTACAACTCTATAGATGTACATATGAAGTAGGCTCACTCCGGGTCTGTCCATTTCAACTTCCCTTCATTTCCACACTTCAAAATGGCGGCAGGCATCCCCCCGCGAGAAGCATAGATATCTATATAAAGGCTAGATGTGTTACGGCGGAGTTTCCATCGTCATCACCGGCGGCCATCTTGTCACAGGCAAGCTGATGTAAGATGAGTGGTCAGCACGAACACAAATACTCTTATCTCGTTGAAATCTTGATGGATTTACAAACGGTTTGGTTTCTCACAAACGTTATTAACGTGGCTATAATTATCTGGATGATTATTTATTTATACACTTTTTATTCATAAGTATGCAGTGTCATAACTACATCTCTGACGATTATAACAAAACAAACCGGTAGAAAATTGAGCAAGTTATGGTCATTTAAATAGTACATGTACCATTAACACAATGTTACGAGTGAGCGAGCTGCCTGTGACAAGATGGCCGCCAGGTGCAGACGTCGACCTCCATTGGCCAGCAGCGTGGACGACATATCTAGCCTTTTTATAGATATCTATGGCGAGAAGTGCTTGGGGAAGTTCGCGAGTGTGTGTCTAAAAGTGGAGCGGACGCATCCCCAGTCTGTCAGTAACGCTCTGTTTACTTCCTGTCTCTATGAAGCCCCTCCTTCTGAAAAGCACACTGTGCTCTGATTGGTCAGCTGGACCAGTGTGTTGTGATTGGTCGAGCGCTTTGAATGTGTGTTTGGGAAATGTCCCGCCCCTTTCCATAACCGCCAGTTTAACACACTACTAACTAACTCAACCAGGCCCCGCCCCTTTATTCTGTACATTAATTATTATAATGAGGAATATTGCGACGTGTTCGTTCCCGGAAGAAACTCAAGACTACAATGGAGGCGTTTCAGGAGTTCAGAAACACTGATTTAGAGAAGAACTCAGAGAGATGAACATGGGGAAAGCACAATAGGTCCACTTTATCGTCTGTGGTTTAAAACGAAAAACCCAGAGTGATTTGAAACTTCGAGAAACGCTTCGCCTGGCTGATATATTCGTCTATTTTGAGATATTGGCCTCGGCTGATAACACTCGTCTGCTTCAGAGATAATCCACACTGTTTATAATGTATTCTGATGTGAAGAATATTTACACACAATTAATTGTCTACTGTTTCCAAGATATTTTAGGATATTTACATTTCACGTCTATGTATATTGTGTAGACCGTACTTGGCACTTGTAGTACCACGTTAAAATCAGATAGTCATATAAATCAAATTTATTATGAAACAAACAGCAAAAAAACCATTATACATATAGTTTAGTCCTGATCAGTGTCTTCTTGTCTAGTGTCTTGTATTCATCTCTTGTCTGCAAGCATTGATGTACTTGATTGTTATGATTGCGTTATCCATGATTATTAGGAATAACATGATGCAATTCATATCATGACACAATACCAGCGTCAGATTGCATTATTCATTGTTTGACCTAAAAAGCAAGTACTGTCCAAACTCAGAGTTATTCACAGATCCAGTCTAATATGCATTTTAGTCACCGAGATCCCTATCTTTATGACCCACTTATCCTCCGCTATTCTCAAGGTCAAGGGTCAAGTGGTAAAGTTTGACTGGGTTTATTTCAGACAGCCTTGTTAATTATTACACATGCAGCTTTTATTGTAATTTGACATTAACATTTGTACTTACAAAGTTCTCACTTCATAAATTCTCAAAAGGCACAATTTGGATGAGACTAGTTTTCTTTTTGAATGATTAACGGAGTCATTTCATGTATGATTCACACACGTCTGGGATATCAGGTGGTCTATTGTTTGGAGGAGGGTGTTACGGATCATCATGTAGTCTGTAATTATAAAATTATATATAATTTAGTGAAGGAATTAAGCCCCAAACACTTGAAGGGATAGTTCACCCAAAACTGAAAATTAGCCCATGATTTACTCGTCCTCGAGCCATCCTAGGTGTGTATCTTTCAGACGAATACAATCAGAGTTATATTACAGAATGTCCTGGCTCTTCCAAGCTTTATAATGGCAGTGAATGGCTGTTTCTGTATGAGGTCCATAAAAGTGCATCTGTCCATCATAAAAGTGCATCTGTCCATCATAAAAGTGCATCTGTCCATCATAAAAGTGCATCTGTCCATCATAAAAGTGCATCTATCCATCATAAAAGTGAATCTGTTCATCATAAAAGTGCATCTATCCATAATAAAAGTTTATCTATCCATAATAAAAGTGAATCTATCCATAATAAAAGTGAATCTATCCATGATAAAAGTGCATCTATCCATCATAAAAGTGCATCTATCGATCATAAAAGTGCATCTGTCCATCATAAAAGTGCATCTGTCCATCATAAAAGTGAATCTATCCATCATAAAAGTACATCTGTCCATCATAAAAGTGCATCTGTCCATCATAAAAGTGCATCTGTTCTTCATAAAAGTGCATCTATCATCATAAAAGTGCATCTATCCATCATAAAAGTTTATCTATCCATCATAAAAGTGTATCTATCATGATAAAAGTGAATCTATCCATCATAAAAGTGAATCTGTTCATCATAAAAGTGAATCTATCCATCATAAAAGTACATCTATCCATCATAAAAGTGCATCTGTTCTTCATAAAGTGCATCTATCCATCATAAAAGTTTATCTATCCATCATAAAAGTATATCTATCATGATAAAAGTGAATCTATCCATCATAAAAGTGAATCTGTTCATCATAAAAGTGCATCTGTTCATCATAAAAGTGCATCTGTCCATCATAAAAGTGAATCTGTCCATCATAAAAGTGCATCTATCCATCATAAAAGTGCATCTATCCATCATAAAAGTGCATCTATCCATGATAAAAGTTTATCTATCCATAATAAAAGTGAATCTATCCATGATAAAAGTGTATCTATCATGATAAAAGTGAATCTATCCATCATAAAAGTGAATCTGTTCATCATAAGTGCATCTATCCATCATAAAAGATTCACTTTTATATGATTCATCATTTGATGCACTTTTATGATGGACAGATGTACTTTTATGGACCTCAAACAGAAACAGCCATTCACTGCCATTAAAAAGCTTGGAAGAGCAGCCAGGACATTTAGTAATATAACTCTGATTGTATTTGTCTGAAGGAAGACAGTCATACACACCTAGGATGGCTCGAGGTTGAGTAAATCATGGGCTAATTTTCATTTTTGGGTGAACTATCCCTTTAAAAACCGTAAGTTATTCGCTCTATAGTGCAAGAAACCCAGAAAAGGGCAATTTGAAAAGGAAACTCTTCCTTCATGAACATGGCCAGAAGTCTTGAGCTTTAGTTGTGTGTGTGTGTGTGTGTGTGTGTGAGGCGTCCTCACCTCCAGGCCTCTCTCCTCTCGGGTCCGGTCGTCCACAGACGCAGAGATCACACCCCAGCGGCAGTCGATGTCTGAAACCAGTCCGCGATACAGCGGAGAGGCGGCACTGAGAGCCATCTGCACAAACACACACACACACACACATACACACACACTGAACACTGGGCCTTTCTAGAAACTTTAACAACACAGAGTCTTAAAAGGTTGTAAACCTGCTCAGCACATAAGACTGTGTAAGTGATGACGGTGGGTTTTACTTTAATTCATGTATAATAATATACATTTGCAACTCCATCTCCCCATATTTATACACATTTTAACAACAATGCAAACAGGAATTTGAATACAGTGGTCAATCATATTTTTTTCTGTGATGCTAAGTTGAGCTTTCTCTGCTGTCCCACTTTATATTAAGTGTCTTCTACTAATATACTATTCTAAATAAATTATAGATAAAAAATATAGATAAAATTATAAATGCACCCAGATACGCCATCTTACATTGCATTAAGTTTAGTTTATGATCACAAACCCACTTATGGGTTTTGTTTTATATTTATATTATATGATATAATGATATAGTTTAGCCATATCACACAGCAAGAGAAGTTTTTTTTTCTGAATATCAGCATGATTGTAAATGTGTATATACAACAATACAATACACAAGAATTGAACATTGTTACTTTTTAGACAATATTGTCAGTTTTTGACAGATTTTGGCCAATAAAAGAGTTCAAAACAAAGCCACAGCAGAAGTGTTGCGTGTCTCTGAGCAACACACAGCAGCTTTAATGAATCGAGTGAGTCATCGATTCAGTGACTCACTCATAAAGATAGTTGTTTGCTTTGTTCCTGAAAGAATCAAGCAGGTGAATGATTCAGTGACTCACTCATAAAGACACTGAACAAATCAACTGTTTGAATGAGTCGGATGAATGAATGATTCAGTGACTCACTCAAAGACACTGAACAAATCAACCGTTTGAATGAGTCGGATGAATGAATGATTCAGTGACTCACTCAAAGACACTGAACAAATCAACCATTTGAACAAGTCAGATGAATGAATGATTCAGTGGCTCACTCAAAGACACTGAACAAATCAACCATTTGAACGAGTCGGATGAATGAATGATTCAGTGACTCACTCAAAGACACTGAACAAATCAGCTGTTTGAATGAGTCGGGTGAATAAATGATTCAGTGACTCACTCAAAGACACTGAACAAATCAGCCGTTTGAATGAGTCAGATGAATGAATGATTCAGTGACTCACTCAAAGACACTGAACAAATCAACTGTTTGAATGAGTCGGGTGAATAAATGATTCAGTGACTCACTCATAAAGACACTGAACAAATCAACCGTTTGAATGAGTTGGTTAAATTAATGCTTAAGTGACTCACTCCTTCAAACGGTTGATTCGTTCAGGAATGAAGCGAGTGATCATGAGTTGGGTGAATTAATTTCTTAGCCAAAATGCATGCGCGATTGATTGATTCGATTAAAAATTGTAATCACTTGGCAGCCCTAATTTAAATGAATCACTTGACACAATGCACTTACTGTGTACACACATGTTTATATTTTTATATGCTATAATGAATTTCTGTAATTGCATCTATAATTACACCGTTGACCCTTAACCCATGCATACCAGCAAACGTGCACAAGTACTGAACTTATTTTAATGCAAGTACAGAGTAGTTAAAGACACCTAATATAAAGTGTGACCATCTCTGCTGACTGCCTTGTGTGCGTTTCATATGGGTACCACTTTATTTTACAGTGTCCTTGTTACATATGTGACATGTACTTACCGTAGTAATAACAGTAAATCATGACATAATAATTACATGCAACTAACCCTCAACCCTACCCTAACCCTATAGTACGCAGTTGCCTAATATTACTCAGTACTTAAATATATAATTACACTGTAACAATGACGCCTTAAAATAAAGTGGGTTTATAGTTGCGCTTCCTCTCTTCAGCCATTTTCATCTTTGGCCCTCAGTTGACCTCTGTTGACCTATAACATGCTCTGTCCTGAGACGCCACACTTCACACACATCTGCCTTCTCTTACCACTATTGGACAGAACACGGCCAGCTGGTCATAAAGGTAGCGCGCCTCCTTGATGCTGCACGCCTGGAAGGTCACCTGTAACATCGACCCCATGTCAATCACATGACCCGAGTATTCCCAAAGCGAGTGGATGAGCACGAGCGTGACCTGACCTGCAGGCAGCAGTTCCCCATGCCGAAGCCCATGGCGTCCATGTAGATGTGATCGGGCAGGGCGGCCCGCGCCGCCTCTCCGTCGTCCTCCGGGAACGTCTCCACAAACGGACATGGCGTGTTTTTATCCTTAAAAACTGAGAAGACAAAAGAGGAGCCATTCAAAATGCAACATTTTTTTTGAAAACTTTTGCTGATAATTTACTCGCCCCCATGTCATCCAAGATGTCCATGTCTTTCTTTCTTCAGTCGAAAAGAAATTAAGGTTTTTGATTAAAACATTCCAGGATTTTCTCCATATAATGGACTTCAATGGGAACCAAACGGTTCAAGGTCCAAATGAGAGTTTCAGTGCAAACTGTTCAAAGGGCTTTAAACGACTCCAGACGATGAATAAGGGTCTTATCAAGCGAAACGATCGCTCATTTAATAAATAAATAACAAAGTTTAAGGTTTATAAGCTCAAACGCTCTCCTTGATCTGTTCTGTGATGCGCGTTCGTGACTCTCCTGTTCGAACTCGTTCATCAAAATGAATGAATCTTTTTTCGAGTCAATTATTTCTTTTCGCTTGTTGAATGAACAAAATGACTCCGGAAAAAGTTCGAAAAGGAGAGTCACGAACGTGATGATAAGACCCTTATTCATCGTCTGGAATCGTTTAAAGCCCTTTGAACAGTTTGCACTGAAACTGTCTTTTGGACCTTGAACCGTTTGGTTCCCATTGAAATCCATTATTTGGAGAAAATCCTGGAATGTTTTCATAAAAAACCTTCATTTCTTTTCGACTGAAGAAAAAATTACATGGACATCTTGAATGACATGGGGGCGAGTAAATTATCAGCAAAGGATGTAGCGTGTGTAGTGACACTCGATTCAGATTCAATTCAATATTGATGATTTTGTACATCAAGATGTCCCTTGTGCTCACCAAAGTTGCATTTATTCGATAAAAATAGATTAAGAAACAGGATTATTGTGAACTATTAGTATACTATTTTCAATGCTATATTGAATATGTATCTACAAAAAAACAAGTAATTTATTCCTGTGATCAAAGCTGTATTTTCAGCATCATTGCTCGAGTCTTCAGTGTCACATGATCCATCAGAAATCACTCTAATATGATGATTTGATGACATTGATAAGTGTTGAAAACATTTTTAAAATTTTGAACCCCAGATCAAATGAAACCAGACATTTAGCGCTTATTTTATTTCCAGAGCAAGATTGACTTACAGAAACAACTCTTAATTTCTACAATTTACAAAAAACAAAAGACTTACTGGGTACATTAATGGCCACCTTCTCGCCGCGGCGGTGGCGTATGTTTCTGGTCAGCGTGCTGTAACACACATTAGTGCATTAGTTAAAGCATCCGGACCTCATTCAGCTGCACACAATATTCATCAACATTACATATCCACTGAATTATTGGATGAATGATGTGACAACGAAACGAAAGAAAAACAAGGGAAGCGGCTTCCTTAATTCTTGACATCATCATTACTCTCAATTACAATTTTATTTGTACACATAAAAATACATTTAAAAAAAAAACAAAAAAAAAAAAAACAGCATATCTTAAATACACACCATATATTACCACAGTACAACATTTTCTGTCCGTTTGCATTTGTTCAGGTAAAAACGGGTTTAAATGCATAAAAACACACTGTATATTGTAGTACCTCTCCCATCAATGTACTCACTTTAACTTAAAAAAAAAAAAAAAAAAAAGTAGTAATTTGTAACTTTTGTTATTTTAAGTGTCAAAATATCATGTGGTTCGACTGTTCGGCCCTAACTTATGTTTTGAAAACATCTTTGAAATTACTCTAAATTTATTAAAAAATATATTTTCAGCACTCTTTGGCATCATTTCCAAGGTGTTTAGTAATTCTGTAAAAAAAAAGCATACGTCCATTTTATTATGAAATATCATGTGGTGCAACCATCAAGGAACTACCATTTTGGATTTATGTTGAAAACTTTTCAAAAACAGGAAGTTACATCATATACCAATTTACCAAGAACCCATGGAAGCCACAAGCATGTTTGTAATTCTCTCAAATAGGGGAAAAAAAATTAAACCTTTATAATGTTTGGTATGCAGTTACCAAAGTTGGATGTCATGTGGTATGACCTTAAAAAAAAATCATATTAAAAGTTATTTCTACAAATTTATATTTTTATTCTAAATTTTAAAGCTTGTTTTGTTTAGGTGACCAATTCTGTGCCTGTAAATTTTGACTGAATTTGAAAATATCATGTGGTGCGACCACTGCAGACTGTTTTTCATGATAGATATAAGTCCTAGATTGGCAAGTTTTGTGCTTTTATATTCAGTTGATGGTTTATATACAAAAAGTACTTTAATTTAGTATAATTAGGAATAGATTATTATGCAATTTGGGATTGATTTTAATTCAGACGGTTTGTTTACTCTTTGTACAATATGAGAAAAATGCAACAAAAAAGTGATAGCATGTAATTTTAGTTTAGTAATTATGCATTTATTAGTAATGTATTTATAAATTTACAATTTAATTTGACCTTGATTAATAAAAGTATTAATTACTTAAAAAAAAAAAAAAACTACTGACCCCAAATATTACCTATATACAATTTGTATTTATATCTATAACATCATTATTTGTTACATACATAAGACATTCTAAGTCAAGGGTTATGAAATGGTGCACTTTTTCTAAAAATGTGTGTAAAATGTTTGTGTTCAGGAAAATTCAGGCAAAACTGTCTTTTGGACCTTGAATCGTTTGGTTCCCATTGAAGTCCATTATATGGAGAAAATCCTGGAATGTTTTCATCAAAAACCTTAATTTCTTTTCGACTGAAGAAAGAAAGACGTGGACATCTTGGATGACATGGGGGTGAGTAAATTATCAGCAAAAGTTTTTAAATAAAAAAGTGAACTACTCCTTTAAGACAATCAGAGTCTTCAAAGCTGTGTGCTGCGATCTGATTTAGACGTGTATCTGAAGTCTGAGTCTGTCTTTGTGAAACGGTCTAATTGTTTTGGCCTAAATTTAGTCAGTCTTTATGGTTGTGAAACAGTCTAACTTGCATTAGACTAGTCTATGAGCACATTTCAGACTTGTCCAACACTATAGAGCGGTCTAAAACAGCCCTGTGAATCAGATGAACAGCGCTGCTGGTATGTGGAGGATCATTGTCTGTTGAGCCGGTTCCCATAATCCCCCTGAAACGCCCCGGAGCGACAGCTTCACATTGTTCTGCATCAGATGACACTTCAAACACACCGTCTCTTTCGGACATGACCCCGACAGCTGTTAGTGGCCTGGGTCACATGACCTGCACACTGGCTGCGTTCACATGGACACGGACATTTATTCCACTATCGGAATAAAAAAGTGCCTCGTCTTTAGGAATGAATCGCCAAGATCTGATTACAATTGGAAGGAGTGATTTCTCTCTTATATAATCAGACCGAGAGAACATGTAAACACTGGATCGGACTGGAAACCACGTGATGATGATGTAGAAATAGCGTACAAACCATCCTTTGTTTTACTTGCGCAATAACTAGCGCTGTCTCCGTGCGATAATCGAATGGACCAACACAAATTTTGAAAACTAAAATAGGAGACCGATTTTAACGGCCATTTTTTTACCAAATATGCGTGTTAGTCGGACAGATCAATACAGAACATGTAGGATGCTGGGAAATAACAGTCTTTTCTCTTCACCAAATGCTTTTTAATACTCACTATTACTTCAATGCAAGTGAACAAGCGCACCGTTATGTGTTGTGTAGTGACGTGTGTGTGTTCAAGTAAGCCAGAAATGAGCAGATTCTGCGATACGCTGTATTAATATAGCATGAGGATCACGAGTTGTGTATTTGCGCAGATTTGTCTAATGCCTGGTTCAGATTACACGATTTTAGCCCGATTTTGGCACGATCCGTTTGACGTAGGGTGTCGTGGGGATTCGTAAACGACAACGGGCGTCGGGACGCGAGATTCGATCGTATCATCTCGTATAGTGTGTCATAGTGGGCGACAACCTACGTCGCGTCTGCGATGCTTCACGACATCGCGACAAAAAGACTAGCATTTAATTTAATTTTTTTAACGGTCGTCCATGACGGTTCCGTCACATGTATGAGGTTGACCAATTGGAGCACAGAAGCTTTTCCGTACACAACTTTCAAAAAAGACGAAACGAAAGAGAGACGATGTTGCTAACGTTAAAACTAAAAGTAAAAATATATAAGAAAACAACATTTTAACATTTTGTCCTCTTCGAGCGGGGTTCTCAAGTTCACTCCCTACGAGTTTCGCCTTCGCGATGACATCACGTGCGCCGTTAAACACGGCATGTGATGACTGGTCAGGAAGTAACGTGTAGTCTGACATGGGTCTTGCCCACGACACGACAAGATTTTAGGAGCCAAAAATCGCGTAATCTGACACAGTGACTATTAGAGCCAGACCGATATATCGGCAGGCCGATATTATCGGCCGATATTAGGCATTTTCCAAACTATCGGTATCGGCAGTTATAATGGCCGATAAATGAATATTTCAAAAATAAAAACGGACGAAACACGCTTCAACCGTGTCATGAGTGTTGGAGTTGTATAGTTTGTCCACCAGAGGGCGCTCTACACCGTTCCTGTTGGCAACACTCGTTGAGTTGGTCACGATACATACATTGCTTGAATAACAATTAAAAGATCATCCGCATCAGTTCTCTTAACTCAAATAAGCAGGACAAAATTTGTGACCATCATGTCCAGTTTTGCTGCTGTTAAATAAGCCGAGAGTGAAGCGGAATTAGCTAGTAATAATTCGTTACGTTGTTACAGTGTAGTTGACTGACTGTCCTTTTAACTTTTGTCAATGTGACTGAAGTATTTCTTTAATAGCGCGTGACAGCTATAGCAATGTGACGCATCATCTCTCCTTGGCCTGTTATATTAAAAATGTATGTTTTCCAATTTGCAGTATGACGTTATCCATTGCTAAATTATGGCTCATCATAGACTAGCTAACCACAAAGCTAGCTAATGCCACTATCATCAGTCTGTTCTGTTGTGACAATAAAAGAAACAAGATAAAAAAAAAAAAACTCATAAATAACTACAAATAACTAATGTTAGGGAAATCTGTTAATGTTTTGTTGAGCGTTTCTGAAAAAAATAATCGGTCGATATATCGGATTTTAAAACCAAAAAAAAATATTTGTATCGGTATCGGCATTCAAAATCCTTTATCGGTCAGGCTTTAGTGACTATCGTAACAAACAAAAAAAAATCGTGTAATCTGAACCAGGCATTACACAAACTTCCCCAGCAAAGAAAGTGAGTAAACACAGAAACACATCTGATTGGCTCGTGATTCGACAGCGTTTCTCGCCAAAGTTCATATTGCTGACTTGTGCGTCTCAAGCCTCTTTACGCTCGTCCTAACGCCTGATAGGTGTCCGTGGATTCGCCTGTATCTGCTGTTGGAAATGGAAACGTCTTTAAATCTCTGTATTTGTGTACATGTCTAAAGAAATCCGATCAGAAGCTCATCAACCGATCATACGTTCAGATTCTCAAGTCGGAATGAATTCATTCAGATTGAAGCAAAGCGTGTCCATGTAAACGCAGCTAATGTCTCATCTCAACACGTTAGCCGTTAGCCGTTAGCGGCCTGGGTCACATGACCGCTCACCTGAATCTCGGGTGTGTGTTGATGGCCTCGTCGGGGAAGAAAAGCGATTTCGACACTCCTTTTTCCACAGGTGTGGGTGTGTGTTCAGGCAGCGTGAAGCCTGGGCAGCCTAACCTACAAAACACACACATATAGTCAACACATGTGCATTGTACATTACATCTCAACACGTGATTTAACCCCTTAAACCTTGAAGCCATTTTGGAGTTGTTTTGTCTGAGTGACGCACATAAAACTAAAGAGTCATAACTCCAAAACAAGGAGAATCAAAAGGTAGGCATCGTCTGATAAAACACTTTTCAATTTTTAAAAAAATATATAAATTACTTTTCGACAATCTCCTGCCGAGAAACTGCCGATAAAACAAAAAATATACAGTATATGATTTTTATTATGATTTTGCCTATCTTTCTTATCTAACATGAAATAACTCAGAAGGGAGCCACATCTGGATCAAGTCTTTTGCTGATTGGATAACAGACTCAAGACAGCCTGTCTGGTCAGTCCTTGACGCCCCCTAGTGGCCATCTTTAAAATGGAGAATATCTTGTCATAAACGCAATCAATTATGTTCATTTTAGGCTCATTGTAATTGTAATAATATGCTGTAAAAATTATTTCAGACTCCAAGCTTTCAAATGACACATATTTTAAATAATATATTTTCCGCCACTAGGTGGCGGGACACTCCGGGTTTAAGGGGTTAAAAGAGAGGTTGATTATGAGTTCACTTTTCTAACTTTAGTTAGTGTGTAATGTTAATGTGTGAGCATAACTCAACTCCATATATAGAGCACTTTCACCACAAGTGGAACCAAAGTGCGGTACAGAAAAACAAGTATATAGGATACTTATGCGGGATATGACGCCTGAGGAACGTGTGTGTGTGTGTGTGTGTGTGTACCTGGGGAAGGCGGTGACTGTGAGCAGAGTTTGGTTGAGGTCGAGCACAGACGACGCCTCTCTCCTCCGCTTCCCCATGTTGTCCTCGACGGTGTTGAACTCCGACATGGAGCCGCCGTACGGCTGACCCGGCGTGCCTTCGATCATGTAACTCCCGTACTCCGGCCTCCACAGCGTCGGGTGGCTGCGCACACACACACTTTCAAGATCAATATTTGCTCTCTTTATGAAAAGGAACTTATAAATGTGAATTACTAGCAGAAGCACTTCATTTAATCCATTAGATAAGTGAGCTCTAGTGTATCAGTGACTTCCATTACATTCATGCTCTAGTAATGTAAACTAATGCACAACAGCCGATGATGATGACGATACGAGAGTACATTACTAGAGCAAGAATATGACGGCTGTCACTAATACACACTAATGCACAACACACCAGCCAACGGCCAATGATGATGTAGAGAGAGCTGTAGCCAATGGGCAGTGAGGCCAACACACCAACAATACTGAAAATAGCTACAACATAGGGCTGACAAACGATTAATCGCGATTAATCGCATCTAAAATAAAAGTTTGTGTTTACATAATATATGTGGGTGCACTGTGTATAATTATTTTGTATATTTATAAATACACACACATGCTTGTATATTCAAGAAAAAAATATTATTTATATATAAAATATATACTATAAATTATATATAAATCTATACAGTACATGAAAATATTTCTTAAATATATACAAGCATACGTGTTTATATATATATATATATATATATATATATATATATATATATATATATATAAAATAATTATACACAGTGCACCCACATATATTATGTAAACACAAACTTTTATTTTGGATGCGATTAATCGCGATTAATCGTTGACGGCCTTAAATATCTGAAAAGATATCATACATACCGCAATGATTAGAGTTTGGATAAGACAAATTCTGAAATTTCCACACACAAAAAAATTCTTGACTCCATTTTAATGGTTAAATTAAATGTTAGTAATCAACAATTCATGAAACGTACACAATTTATCAACAATCTATCAGTCTAAAGTTAAAAACAAAAATTAGGGCGCTATGAAATCTGACATTTCTCAATCTCCTGTATTCAGTGTTTTCAACTTAAGATTTAATAATCAAAATGCACGAGGAATCAACTGAATTTATAGAACTTACACTTTTCAACTTTATCAGAAAATCTTTTTTTTTTCTTCTGGATTTATCATTTAATGCAAATTCATTATAGCAAAAACATTGGCAATCAATTTCATAAACCTTTCAAAATGTAATCAAACGGAAATTTAACAATTCCTTTTATATTTTGGCCGACAAAATGTCGTCAAACCAAACTCGTCTCGTGACAGGTCGCGACCTTTGAGTTTCTGCGTGAGCAAACTTACAAACATATTTAAATAATCTTTTTGAGCTTTAATTCTCAGCCATCCATGTGACGATTTGAATAAATCAAACTTATGGTGGTATAATTATTCATCCGGGATATATGCAGAATTCCACGACATTATACAGTAAATTACATGTTTATGATCAGTGTTTTTCCACATCAGTCTATGAAATCACTTTTTTTTTTTTTTTTTTTTTTTTTAATTTTATGGATTCCATTTGAACGGTTTGATTAAATTTTCATAATCAGAAAGCATGACTTATCAATTGAATTTATAAAACTTTGACTTAATAAATGACATTAAGTGATTTTTATTAAGCTTTAATACTCACAGACATCAGTCCATATCACGATTTGAATAATTATACAACCATTAATTTGATTTATTATTATTCATCCAGAATTTCACATTATTCAACAGTAAACTTCAGTTTCATGACTGGATCCCATGACACCATCAGTGTTTTATATAGATATACTCCACAACTCTCTACATGTGACACTGAGGCTGAATCTCTCAGCAATTTTAGAACATATATATGCGCTACAGGCAGATTTAATGATTTGCAAATGCTTCTGAGGTTTTATTTTTAATACTAATCTATTAATCTATTTTATTGTTATATATGTGTTTGTATAACTGGGCCACCTATCTTGACCAGGACACTCCTGTAAAAGAGATTTTGATCTCAGTGAGGTTCTCACCTGGTTAAATAAAGGTAATCATAATAATAATAATAATAATACGAGTCTACGGCTAACGCAAACATGTTGCCTGTGATCATCGACGTGAAGTGTAAAGCGCTGTGACTCTCTTCAGTGTGTGCAACAGCGAGGCAGTAATGAGGAATGCCACTCTCTCGTTTCCCAGTGTGTGTGTGTGTGTGTGTGTTGATAGTCCCCTGAGCTACAGACACACAACATCAGGACAACATACAGTACAGGGTTCCCACACTAAGGCTGGGCAACGATTAATTGCATCCAAAATAAAAGTTTGTGTTTATATGTGTGTGTATAATTATTTTGTATATAAAAATTCACTCACATGCATGTATATTTAAGAAAAATGTGTTATTAATATATAAAATATTAATATTTATATTTAATATAAATTATGTATAAATATATATACATGCAAATATGCATGGATGTGCATTTAATTACAAAATAATTATACACACACTACACACACATATATTATGTAAACACACACTTTTATTTTGGGTGCGATTAATCGTTGCCCAGCCCTATCCCACACATAGGTTAACTTCAAATTCAAGGAATTTTCACAAACTTTCCAGGTCCAATATTCAAATCCAAAGACATTAAAGGGTTAACTCACCCAAAAATGAAAATGATGTCATTAATGACTCGCCCTCAAGCGTTGAAATAACACATTAGTGGACCAGAGGGAACAATAAGAAACTTTTTCCAGAAAACTTATTGCACAAACTAAATTCAAGCACTTTTCAATGTCTTATTTATTTAATTTTATTTATCTATATTTATTTAAAACTTTCCAGGGCCTTGAAATGTATTTTTTTTTTTCAGATTCACAAATTTCCAGTGATTTTAAGGACCCGTGGGAACCTGAACAGAACACAGGTCACGATCCTCACTCCTATAACTTATCAAACTTCAAATAATGTGTATCCTGTCCAAACTAACTTCTGATGAGCCCGTAATTTAAAAAAGGAAAGATTTAAGTGGCCCTATTATCATTTTTTTTAATATTTCCTCTCATGATTGGCTGATTAGAGTCTCTTAGCTCCGCCCTCAAACACTGAAGTGCATCTGAGACTGAAGTGTGTCGAGGAGACGCTGTTTTCTGCTGACGAAGCAAATCCACTTTGATGAGATTGATACGGTAAAACCCTCGCCATCGTTACTGTTCGTATCGCTGTGATCAAGATCTGAGATTCAGATATGATAATGAGCGTTTGCTCTCTGACCAATCAGAGCAGAGCAGCTCTCAGAGAGGCGGGGCTTAGAGAGACTGAGAGAAAGAGCTGAAGCTGCAGTGAAGATTATGAGTTAAATAAAGTGTGTTTGACCTTAGATGTGTTTAAACCTGTTGTAGGAGTCTATGAAACATCATTAGGGACCTTTAAAACGGCATAATTGGGGCAGAGGAACAGTAAACTCGAAAGATTAATCTTGACTTATTAAACGCAAGCATAAAAGAGGGATTGGCTGCAAGACTTTACAGTTAAAGTGTATAAAAGGAGCTAATAAATCTAAAATGGGGACAAACCCTTTTTATCCCGGCTTTTTAAACACAGTTGCAGCTAAACCTGCTATTTTTGAAGTCATGATTGTGTGAGGACCCTGTATATCTCAGGGTATGTACACAAAATAATTAGGGATGCACGATATATCGGCATCAACCAAATATATATGATCGTTTTTATCACCCGATAGGAAAATTTGGCCGATAAATAATGTATTATTTCCTAAATTTGAAACGCTTTAGATGCGCACTGTTCAGCACGACGGTTTTGAATTGCTTGAAATATGATTGGAATCACAACAAAAAGGAAATTGCTGTTCGGTGCCACGTCCCAAGTCATATCGGCTACATTATCATGAGTGTGTGTTTGGGACGTGGCTTTTGATGGGGAGACATTAGTTTTTGTAAATCAGACTCTCAGAAAAAAAATTAGACAATTTTAGATTTAGATTTATCGGCCCCAAATATAAAGAATTATCGGTATTGGCCAAAATTGTCATATCAGTACATCCCTAAAAATAATATTCTAATGGTGCGTTGACACCGGACACGAATAGCGTGTCAGGTGCGAATGATTTCAATGTTAAGCCAATGCAAAGAGGTGTTGCGCACATGAAAAATTCCTGCGGCGCGAATGAGGCGTAGAGCGCAGCGCGGAAGACGCGAATACGCTTCTTTCGCGCGTCAAGTTCGCGCGAATTGAGCGTCTGCCGCGTTAAGCGCGAATGATTTAGTTAGTGCTATTTGTGCATTCACACAATTGACGCAAATTCGCCCCTGCCGCACGAGTTGAAAAACCTGAACTTTGGCGTCAATTCGCGCCGCGTTAACCAATCAGGAGCCTGCTGCTTGCTCACGTAGTAGTGAAGTATCTGATGCTTCAATACATTATTTTGTAATATGACTAAATGCATGGTGGGATTCTTTTATGCACAACAAAGCAAATATTTTATCACTTAAAACTTTATTTCTATATACGAGACATGCTCATTTTGTATTGAATGTTATTCATTCCATATCTAGATTATATGAAATAGTATTATGATGTAAAGACAACCAACATACATGTGCATAAGTTCGTGTCTGGACGTGAGAGAGGGAAAAAATAAAAAATAAAAAATAAATAAAAAAAATAACAGGACAGTTTAATAACTTTTGAAGGCTCGGTCTATTCATCATCAAAACAAAAATGAATGACAGATGAGGTGGATGAGGGCGAGGGTGATCCTCGATCCGATGCGGGACAACAGGTCATCAAACTGGGCGCGGGACAGGTGGAAGTACCGTCATCCAGCGCAGCTCCTGGAGCGAGCAAATGGTGAAACTCGCCAAACGGTTCGCCTCCGAAGGGTCTGGTGGACACAAACACGGCGACGATGATCCCCACACCACTCTCCAGAGCAAATACAGAGCGGTGACTCTCTCGATGAATGCTCAATAAATATAAAAAAGGGTTTCGATTTTGATGCGCGAGACGCGCGCAAATTTCGTTTCAAACTTTCGATTTCTAGCATGTCAGTTTCGTTCTTGACGCGCGAATTAACACAAAATGGTCAAGCGTCAAACTAGCGCCTGCGCCGTCAGATCAGTTGGACGTGGCTGTGGTTACAAGAGGTAAAAACGATATAAACACTGCTCGTTTTCTCACACAAACCGCTCGTTTTGTGTCTTATGCTGCGAGTCATCTCGTATAGATCGTAATTACGAGTTGAACGCACTTGAACGCCACCACAATGTCGTAAATACCAGTGGGGAGCTCGGGATTTTCTTTAAGCTTCGATCTGTACGAGTCAGTGAGAAACGTTCATTCAGCGTCTGTTGACGGTAAATTTTAATTGAATTTCAATGTTTACTCATTGACATTGTAAGGCTTTTTCATTTATAAAGCAAGCTCTCTGCACAAAATATGATATCATTGTAATATAAATATTATACCTAATGATAGAGTTTACATTGGCTTCATAAGCTAATAAAAAAACATAAAAAGAAAAACACACCTGATGCAACAACCTTGCTGTATTTTCATGTAATTCATTAAAAGTAGGTACACCGCCATTTTGCTCCGACGAAACCGACTTGAACGCACCTCACGTCGTAAACACAACTTCCCACCTCGTACGTACGAACTCCCCAGAAGGACCTGACATTGAGGCATTAGGCCATCAATGTGTACTTACATTTACGAGTCATTAAATCATGTTTAATCTGGACTTCTCCGTGCACGCTCTTTGAGGTGGTGACCATAGACCTCCATTATATGACTGACAGACAACAACGGTTTGACCTAAAAATATCAAAATTGAAAACACTGTGGAAACAAAGACACCTACATCTTGGATGCCCTTGAGGTCAGATAAAACATACCAAAAATTAATTTCAAAGTGAACTAATCCTTTATTTTATTTTTGTATTTTTTTTTTTGGGGGGGGGGGGGGGGGGGTAGTCATCATCATCACACCAACATGTTCAGAACATTTTTGTGACACACTCAGTTACTCACTTGGGGTTGATCTTTTCCCCCTTTTCCTGCAGGATTTCCAAAACCTCCTTCCCGTTCAGAACCAGACGGGCTTTCTCATGTTTGTCGTCCATTTCCACCAACATGTACTCCACCTGTGGGATGAGTTAGACCTCGAGTCACACGGCTTATCACATTACAACAGTAGGAAACATACTGACCACCACAAGTAAACAATAGTTCCTGCTTTTGCCTGAGGTATTATTTGCCTTGCAAACCCAACGCAACCAACAACGACACAGCAGTGTTTTTCTTCTTATTGCATTCATTATGAAAGTAAAAACGCATTACTAGTCGGATGCCATTCCATTCATTTTGCCTTTTAAATCCACTAACGCCGAACAAAGGGTTGTCCTAAACCAACAACATTCCAGCAGGTTTTATCGTAAATCCATTGACGTCTTCTGGCTGGTCAAAGGTAATGAAATGAAAAGCCATTTCAATAGGAGGTTCAGAAATCGACATTATCCTGTTGATCCCACATGAACTGCGAGTTTGCACATGCAAACACGTTTAGGCGCCAAATGTTTAGTTTAGTAGTCTTTAAAGGGCAGCGAACGGCCCGCTGGAAGAGGAGGAACGGCACAGCCATCCAACCAAAAGAAATGGGATTTTGCAATTGACATATTCGCACAAAAATCTTGAGGGCAGATCTTCACACGCCTGAGCACTTTACACACACATGACTCATTACGCCCACTCGTTTCCCAAAGTTTGGATAATAACCAACCTTTGAAATAATAGGCAAATTAAAAATGGGAGAATATGATATGATTATGATATTGTATTTGTGCTTCTTTAAAGCAGCCATATTTTGCCTGGATCTTCATCACGATCTCCTAAAGTGGTTTAAAGTCCCCCTGTGGTGAAACTCCAGCTTTTAATGTTGTTTATTGTGTGTATGTGGGGTTTTTAATATGTTTTAAGACAAACCGTGTGTAAGTTCATAAATCGACAGCATTACTGAGTATTTTCTGTACGATTTCACACGGTGTGAAATCGTTGGTGCTTCTGACGTCACAAACCACCTTGTAACCAATCACGTGTGATCGTCAACTAGTGGCGACTCAACTCATTTGCATATTCATAGAACCGCGCATACTAAATGAGGCAAGGGTGTCAAGTTACATTCACCATATTTTAAGGCATTACAAGTTAAATATATAATTTTGGTCATCAAAGATCAGTTTTAAAGGACAAAATTATTGACTACAGGAGGGCTTCGTCTTCCGTTTACACACCACTGAGGAGGTCAAAGGTGTACATTTGTTGTACCGGATATAATTTGGGGAAATTACACTGTTGACCTTCACCCCTTAACTCTCTCTAACCTTAACCATATCCGACTCAATAACATCTAATCTTGTGTAATACATCATAAACACATTCATTTCCTATATCAGACTATTTCTTTGCATTGATGTAAAATAGACAACTCATATAAAGACTGAACATTACATTTATCTACAAAATCAAGTGCAAGATTGTAAGCTTGAGCCTTTAAATAATGTTTATTTTAGGATAATAAAAGTGCATTAATAACGCAAACTGAGCTGAAGGTGCACCTGCTCGCAACCAGCATCACCATTGCATCATTTAAAGCAACGCAACCACGTGTTCTACATAGATAAGCAGTTATTAAATATGATTTTGCGAGGATGTAAAGGAAAGCATGACCCTCACCTCGTCTCCCCATTTCAGCACATCCTTCTGTCGCTCCTTCACCTTGTTGTAGATGTTGAGGAACTGAAGGATGCCGTGCTTTCTAACGTGGTCAGCATGTTTCTTGGTCTCTTCCCAGTTGAGCGGTGAGCCTTGTGACAGCAAGCCCATATCACAAACCTACAAACCCCGTCTTATGAGTATTTACGGAATACGGACTTCAACTGGCAACTTCAACCGCCGCCGCGTCACGCGTTTCGTGATATTGATATTTAAACGCTGATATATGCGGGCGAGCGCGCGCGCTAGGCCCTTCAACGGCTCGTTTTTAAGTCGAGACTGAATCGGGTTTGTTTCCAGGCGCTTTTCTCGAGGGAAGGTTTGACTGGAACTCGCGGATGAAACGGCCTCGAGCTTGTTGCGAGTTGTTGATATTTGATCGGAGTGCGCGAGTTATGTCAGTCCTGTCCTCGCGCGCACACACACTTTGCCTGCACTGACAACACGTGACCGTGTCGTTGCGTTCACGTCATCATATTATGACTCAGCAATTCCTTCTTCCTCTTTGTTGTGCGCTGATGATGATGATGAAGGCGGCGTGGTCAAGGCAACAACTCGCGCATCCGTTTAAATGTGCTCTTGTAATCATGACAATGCAAAAAATGTCGTATTTGTGTGAAAATATTGTGTATTTTAATAATATTGCTTGTATTTTGGAATATGTTGGCTGTGGATTATTTTGGGTTATGATTGGAGCAACACCAAGGTCAGCAAACACAGAACGGTTTTATTTAAGTTTTATTTTTACAACCATGAGCATTTGCTGCATGATTCTGAGACGTGTGTGTGTGTGTTTGTGTTTTAATAACCATTAATAACTTACATAAAAATATTTTTTTAATAGCCATTATACAGAATGTACGCTAATTGTATTCATTTATTTATAATAATTAATTATTTACACAAAACATTTCGTAATGGTAATATATTTATTTTTATAATGTTAATTCCTTACACAGGACATCCCCAAATGGTTATTTTCTTTCTTTCTTTCTTTAAATAATTAAAATATTCCCTTATGGCTATTTATTTAATAACCATTCATTCTTTTCACAGTGACAGAACATTCCCTAATTGTTTTATTTTATCTTTACAATAACAATTAACCAATAACTTACACAGAATGCTCTCTAATGTTTTTTTTTTTAAATTCCATTATAATTATGATTATTTACATTATTATACAGAATTGTTGCCAATGGTTATTTTTAGGTTTTATTTTCAGAACCCTGTAATGTAAGGTATAGTTCCCCCAAACCCCACTGTAAAAAAAAAAAAAAAAACAACAACATATTTTTTCAAGATTTGTTATCCCAACATTTTTTTCTTTTGTCAAATCAACTTAAATAATTTATTTAGTTCAGATAACTTATTTTGAGTTTCTGATGATTAAATCAATCTCCTTCCTTGTATTAACTCATTTTTTCCAGTTCAATCAACTTAAAATTTTAAGGCAACCAGGTTACTTCATTTTTTAAGTTAAACCAACAATATTTTTTTTACAGTGCGCCCTCAAGTGGATCCAAACCGGTGTGAGTTTCTTTCTTCTGCTGAACACAAGGAAGATATTTTGATGATTATGGGTAACCAGACATTTTCTTTTTCATACTATGGAAGTCAATGGGGTCCATCAACTGTTTGCTCACCCATATTCATCAAAATATCTTCTTTTCTGTGTGAACCATCCCTTTTATGTGCAAGGTGCACAGTTCATCTTGAAGAATTCAGTAACGTAAATAAGGGCAAATGGGGTCCGGCCTTTATTATTAGGTCAGGAGTCACTTCTTGCAGGTTTACTTTTGTCATCATCATAATTATGACTTTGCACTGTCATACTCTCAATGTTATCTGCCACTAGCTCCAACGCCCATCGGTGTGTTTACTTAGTGAAAAACTCTTGTACAGGTTTACTGCAAACACAACAATGACTGTCTTTCAGTGGTCAGACATCAGGGATCTCTCACTTTCATTTTAGAAAGCTCAAAAGAACAGCCTTTATGTGAAATAGAAAGATTTTGTGACATTAAACATTACTGTTCAAAAGTTTGGGGTCAGTGAGAATTTTTATTTTATTTTTTGGGGGAAAATATAAAATTAATCAATACTTTTATTCATCAAGGATGAATTAAATCTATCAAAAGTGACAGTAAAGACAATCATAATGTTACAAAAGATTATATTTCAAATAATGTTCTTTTTACTTAAGAATCCTGGGGGGAAAAGTACACAACTCTGATAATAATAATAAAAAAAAATGTTTTTTAGCATCAAATCATCATATTAAAGTGATTTCTGAAGGACCATGTGACCCTGAAGACTGAAAATACATTTGATCACAGGAATAAATTACATTTTAAAATAAATTAAAATAGAAAACAGTTATTTTTTAATTTTTTATACATAATTGTCTTAATATTTAACAATATTATTTTTTGTTGTTTGTTTTGTTTTTAATCAAATAAATGCCTTGATGAGCTGAAGAGACTTCTTTAAAAAAACAATAACAAATCCAAAACTTTTGATTGGTATATATATATATATATATATATATATATATATATAAGGATAGTCTGAAATAGAATAATGTTACCAGCAACATTTCTTAAGAAGCTTTAATAAATATGCAGAGCTTAATTATTTGACAACATGTATGACAGCATGTATGCTAAATGCAATAATTTACATTCATCAGCAATATCTTTTTTAAAGTAATAAATCAGTAGTGTGTTCAGTTGTCACATTTCTGTTTTTAATCAGAACATTAAAGTTCATGAACCATCAGGAAACAAAGCAGATGTTGGTGTTCGTCCTCGGACAGTTCAGGCCAAAACTTCTTCACAATTATCTATTCATTCTGCTTTCAGAAAAATGCCATCACTGTAAATCCTCCTATTCTGTGCTCTTCACATTATTCCTCACACACTTTCTGTTTTGGTGTTTTTACAGTGCAAACTGGGTTATAAAACCTTTGTTATCTCCCTGCCGCCTAATGATTAATGAATAAAGACAATGTTAGTGGGTAAAGGAGTAAGTGAAATGAAAAACCTGGCTTATCCCTCATAAATAAGCTCACATGTGTACAGTGCAATGGCAACATCAGAAAGTAATGCTTGAATAAGTCTCTGCATCATTGCTTGTTAATCAAAGGAGAATGTCTTATTTGTTGTAATTACCTATACATTAAAGGACTAATCGAATCAAACTGGAGAACTGGCCCCACTTGGAAAATATGTTCCCAATAAAAATTATGACTTGATTTTACAGATATGTATTGTTTCCTTTTCTCTGTAAACATTATAAACAATAATTCTACCTCCAAAAAAAATCTCTCTCACTTTCCTGATTTCCACAACCTTTGAACCACCTTTAAATACACATCAATACTTTTTTTTTTCTTTTCAAAATCCTTCAATTTTAAACATTATGATTTGTGAACTTGTGAAATTGTATATAATTTGTGATTTCTATGTTTTAGGGGTGTAACGATACATGTTTTAGTCTCGGTACAGAGTACATCACGGTTCGGTTTATGATGAACACAGTCGATCACAGGCAATACACACTCCAGTCCAGAAGGGGGCGCACGCGGTAATGCAACACTGTTTGCTAACCGCCACAGAATGAGAAGAGATGATCTACGCACCAACCCACTGCGTCTCAGTTCGCCTATTTATACTATGCCCTATGTAGTCTTTTTGTGAAGAAACTTTTGTGAAGAAACCAGCTTTGAGAGTCACTATCACATCATTAAATGTGATAACCGCGTCTTTAGCGGTTGCTCTCTGTCGCTTAGTACGATTAAACGTACCAAACTCATATTGAACCGCGATCCCAAAACCAAGGTACGTACTGAACCATGACTTCTATGTCTAATTACACCCCTGCTATGCTGTGATTTGACATTCACAATTCCCGAGATTTATATAAACTGACAATATTGGCATCTGTAAGAAAAGCTGACCTTTAACAAATATTAATAAAAAATCATTCTCAATTACAACTCATAAGTTCCCCGCTGCTCTCTCTCACGGCTTATATACTAATCGGTGCGGATGAAACAGAGCTGGCCCTCGACTCTCGTGTTTTGCGTGTGGGGATGGTGACAACGCAACATGAGATACCGACCGTAGCCTCGGGCAATTCGTCATCCTCAGTCCAATCGTTAAGATCGGGGTTAAACACCTGAATGCATTTTTTATACTTCTTCTCAATCTCGTTCCATCCACCCAGGAGGTAAATCTTGCTATTCAAGGTGGCAGCACCTGCTGTGCTCACTCCCGTCAGCAAGGGGGCGACGTAGCACCACTGGCCCGAGTGAGGGTTGTAGCACTCAACCGGTAAGACGTCTACCCGTTCACCTCGCGCGCCGAGTTGGCTTCCGCCGATAACGTACGCGCGATCTCCGACGGTCACCGAGCAATGCCATCCCCTCGGGCTGCTCAGGCTATTCTTATCCTGCCAACTATCGGTGGACGGGTCGTAAGAACACACGGCGCGAGAGTAGGCGTTGTTAATGTAACCGCCGCTAACCAAGATCTTGCCGTCAATAACTGTGCTGCCATGGCAACATCTAGGGACTTCCATTGCAGCTTTCATTTGCCATTGGTTCGATGAGGGAACGTAGCACTCGACGGACGCCTGACAGCCCTCAGAGTTGCGTCCGCCTACAGCGAACAGGAGGCCGTTGAAGGTGTTGAGGCTGAAATGAGTGCGCTTCTGAATCATGTTAGCCAGGTGGATCCACGTGTTGAATCGGGGGTCATATCTGAGGAGAGAAATACTCGTAAGTGATGCATGGACATGAGATAAAGCCATGGACAGGACATCTCTTATTTTTATGAAATATTGCAGTGTTTGTTAGAAAGGATTTATCTGAGCACATCATTATTTTTTAATGTATGTTCCCTCTATGTTGAATCTTTGATCAAAATAACTTCCCCTCTACCTAGCAGCGATATCGATCCTGTCCCAACACTTAATGTGCTTGGTGGTCTTGTGAAAATGATAAAATGACAAATGAGACACCCTACGGTCTTGTGGACTTAACGGACATGTTATTGTAAGTCCACAAGACCATGGGAAAGTGATCCCAAACTCAATGGCCACAGCTCTGCACAGTTTAGCTCCAACTCACACCTGGTTGGACGTTTCTAGTAATCCTGAAGACCTTGATTAGCTGGTTCAGGTGTGTTTGATTAGGGTTGGAGCAAAACTGTGCAGAGCTGTGGCCCTCCAGGAATTGAGTTTGAGACCATTGCCCTATGGGTGTCTCATTTGTAAATTCAGGTTTCAGAAGGGTGCTCACGAGTGCCTCCTTCGCGGTCAATATTCGCCCTCGTTGCACACTTTTGAAGACTTCTTCCTGACAGTCAAAGCGGAGTTACGTCATGAAAGTGCGGACTCAATTTGGGACAGGACCAAATTGGTATTGTGTCTCTTAAGTGTGGACTTGGAGGAAGATCAAAAGAGTGGTTCCATTTGGGACAGGACCTCACAGTCTTGTGGACTAACAATGCCCTCTGTGTGAGCGTTTCCACTAAGTCCATGAGACTGTAGGGTGTCCCATTTGTCATTTTAGGTTTCAGTAGGGTGCTCATAGAAGACTTCTACCCATCAGCCCCTGTCCCAAATGGCACACTTGTGGTCTTGTGGACTTACAATAGCTGCCGCATGCACATGTCCGTTAAGGTCACAAGACGTCTCGTTTTGTCATATCAGGTTTCAGAAGGGACAGCCAAAGTGGCATTACGTCACGAAAGTGCGGACTCGAAGGAAGATCGCAAGGACTTAGGGTGCAATTTGGGACGTCTCGTGGACTTCACGTTCACACTCGCATGGGGGGAACTGTAAGTCCACGAGACCGTAGGGTGTCTCATTTGTCGTTTTAGGTTTCAAAAGGGTGCTCGTCAGCACCCTCGATGTGCACTTTCTGAAGACTTCTTCCTGACAGTCAAAGCGGAGTTACGTCATGAAAGTGCGGACTCGTAGGAAGACTGTGAGTGCTTAGGGTGCAATTTGGGACAGGACCAAAGTGACATTGTATGACTAAAGTGTGGACTCGGAGGAAGATCACAAGAGCGGTTCCATTTGGGACTCACATTCTTGTGGACTTACAATGCCCTTTGTGTGAGCATTTCTGCTAAATCCATGAGACTGTAGGGTGTCCCATTTGTCATTTTAGGTTTCAGTAGGGTGCTCCCAGAAGACTTCTAGCCATCAGCCCCTGACCCAAATGACACACTTGCGGTTTTGTGGACTTACAATAGCTGCCGCATGCGCATGTCCATTAAGGTCACAAGACGTTTCGTTTTGTCATTTCAGGTTTCAGAAGGGACAGCCAATTTATAGGCAACATTTGAAAAACAGCCATCGGTAAATTGTACCCTGTGGTGGTTCTAATCATCGTATGGTCTGGTAAATAACTTTATGCCAAATTTTATGGGACGTAATGGGTTATAGTTATGTGTGATTGACATTTTAGCACTCAGCGCGCTTACACTTGCGCATCTATATTAAGTGCATTTTTGAGAAACGCAGAGCTGCAGTCTGTGCACAATGTAAATGCCGTTTACGTTCGGGTCCGGTCGGGTCGGACTCGGGTCTAATTTTATCGGGTTTGTCTGGGGTCGGGTTTTTCTTTAAAAAAAATTATTTATGCACGTCGGGTTCGGGTAAGTAGTGATTCGGGTCGATTCGGGTCGGGTACAGTTTTTAGGACCCGAGAAGACCTCTACCACAGGGAATTCATGGAGTGATGTGTGTTATCGAACTTAAGCGGCAGGGCATATTTGGCGTGTGTGTGTGTGAGATGCCCTCTGGAGTTTAGAGGGTTCAGATTGGGCAGCATTTACTTCTGATCAGCCGCTGCACTTTATTTATAAAATTACTATATATTCCACAGCCTTATTATTTCCACCAAATCGTGTGCGGTTTCATTTCGATGAATCGTTCAGCCCTACTAAAAATGATGTAAAATCGTACCTGCAGAAATTGCTGACGGCATGTTTTGCTTGGTTCCTTGCATCGTTCTGGTCTTCTCCACCGGCCACGTAAAGGAACCCATCCAAAACCGCCACGCACTGATTGAAGCTCTTCGCGGGCATCTCCGTAAGCTTGTTCCAGACATTGTCTTCATCTCTGTAGAGAATGTCCTTGCTGAGGGATTTCTCGGTAAGCGCCGGCCGTCCACCCACCGTGAGCAGAACTCGTAGGCCTCCGCGGACCTTGGTTCTTCGGGACTGCAAGATGTTCTGCTGGAATGGCAGCAGGTGGTAATTCATGGCATCCACCAAAAGGCGGTGGCACTCAGAATCTTGCATCATCCTGGGAACGCTTTGTACGTGACTGACAAGGTCCTGAGGTAAGATCGTTCCAAAGCGGATGTTGGACAGGAGATCGGGCGAGTACTTCAGCCTCTTCTCATCGAAGTCCAGCCACTTGATCGCGATCTGGAAAGCCGTGAGCTCAGAAGGCAATTGAAGGGAGTCGTCCGTGAGAAATTCGCTGATTTGCTCGTAGGTGAGTTTTAGGAACTGTTCCATTTCGGAGAACTCAATAAAGTTCTCCCGCATGAACTTCTGAGCAGCTTCTTTCGTCTCTTTCAGATTGTAAGTATCGGCGATGTTCACAACATACATGCAGTTTTCCACGCTAGTCTCCCGCATTAAGAAATCGCTGCACATCTTCACCAAAGTATGGATTTGCAACAGCAAGGCTGCTGAGATAGTGCTACCAATTGTGTAAAGCGACAAGGTGAGTTTTCCGGAATAGGCGTATGTGATGACTGTAGCCAGACCAACCGGGGACAATTCACTGAGCTCGATCTTCTTGAGGGATGGATCCTTCCTGAGCATTGCTTGGATGTACTCGCTGCAAGAAGCCATCACAACCTTGTGAACTTCAAAAGACTTGGACTTGGTTGCGACAGTCAGGTCGCAGAGAAAGCTGTCTTGCCTCATGTGGCCAAGACCCTCCAAGAGATTGGGTGCATAGAGGGGGTCGGTGACCTCCGTTGAGATGCAACTAAAGCCATTTCCACATTCCAGGAGAGTGTTGAGCCCATTGATTTTGTTGGTGGGACTGTCCTCTACCATAATTGTCATTTCATTGATATCAGCTTTGTTCTTCTTAGCGGTCTTGTTCTTTTTGGGTGCCATGACTGTAGTGATGGGTCACAGCCAAGACCTAATTTTGACAAAAAGAGAGCACATTTTAACCATTTATATAAAGTAGTTTTCCTGTGAAAAGGGATGTTAACCAATACCCAAGACCAAACGTAATAGCTCAAGAATTGATTTTTGAAAAAGCCTTAATCATTGACCGTATAAAAATAGTTGGTTAAGATTTGTCCACCTAAATGTGCATTGTGGTTGCAGACCGGGCCCAAATTGAGGGGCTGTTTACACGACAACATTTTCAACCAAAAACGTAAAACTTTTTATGCGTTTTGGTCGTTTGTTTACACGACAAAGGCGTTTTGGGCATGCAAACTTTTGAAAACAGTTTTCAAAGTGCAAGTTTTTGAAAACGGTCTCCATGTAAACAACAAAAAACTCAATCTCTGAAGACGATGATGTCATGCACATGCGTATCACGTGTTCAGTCTATAGTGTTTCATCGCCATCTCCTGGCCTGGCAGCAGAATACAACGCTTTTTCGCAGATCCGTGTGAACGTGGATTGTTTTGGCGATGGTGTCGTCTGTGCGCTGAAAACTTAAAGGAAAATCTACTCCATTTTAAGCGTATAAACGTACCCGGCCTTAATTTGGATCAGAATGATTTATAGATTTGGAAATCCCATGTTTTGCTATCTAGGATCAGGTAACCAATCTTACTTTTTTTAAAACAACATTGGATTGGATCAACCTGATCCAGATACACACTTTTTCAGATTACCAGTGCTCCACGTGGGGTCACATTTCACAATGTAGGCTACCAGCAATGTAAAGAACCACAGCTAGAATAGCCCACATGGGGTCACTTAAGGGCTTTATTTGAAGAGAAAGAAAACCACATGAACAAACAAACATCTCCTTCCATTTTTTATTTCCTTTAAACAATCAGAACCTATACGGACGCACTAAAGACATGCATTGTGATGGGAAAAAAAGATGGGAGAAAAATTATAAATTCCACAGCTTTTGAGCTTCCGAGAAACTTTGTGCGAGAAAGTTTTGGGGGAGTGCAACACATTTGCGAGAGAATGCAAAAGCATTGGAATTAATTTGTACGCCCATTTTACAATTTATCAGCAATAAAAAACAACTTCTCAACATTCTCATACTGAATCAGTCGGACACTTTTCTCATGTTAGTTCACCCAAAAATTAAACTAATCAAGTTGATAGTCCAATACCTGTTTGGTTGCACGTATTCTTTCAAATATCTTCTTTTATGTTAAAAAAATACAGGTTTGTAACAACATAAGGGTGAGTAAATGATGACAGCATTTTATTTTTTGGATGAACTACCCTTTTACAATTAGAGTCACTCTAACAAGAGGCAAAAAAACAACAACAAACAAACAGTAAACCAAAAGTCATCTAAGAATAAAGCTTTATTATACTAATGAACTCTTAAGAGTTGTTATCGCGCATATCACCTCGGCATTGCTCTCTTTGCATCTGTCACAAGTTATCACAACTATGTCCAAGAATAGAAAGGCTGTGGAAATCGCTGTTCCTTTTATAGACTCGAAGTCACTGGAACCCGTCTGTCCTTTCAGCTCCAACACTCTTTCTTTTCTTTTTTATCTGTGTAAAAGTTAAATAATTTATACGAGTCGGATCAATAAGTGCTGTCTTATAGCTACTAGGTTCGCACAAAATATGGGTGTGTGTGTATGTGTTACTTTAATTACTTTAAATAATCTAGAACACTCTGATCTGACACTAACGCAACTCACAGGAACCATCAACTCAAGAACCCCACAAAGCCGAGCTTGTGAAGAAGATACTCTTTGTTAATACCATGTTGCCTCAAAGATCCACCGGTTTAGTATAAAGACAATAATTAACTTACCGATGTCGAGATGAAGTAGGTGCAGGAGAAGGACGACGTGCACCCCTAAGTTGGTATGTAGGAGAGAGAGAGATAGAGAGAGAGGTGTCCAGTCAGGAAAACACAGTAACTCCTCCTCTAAGGATTGATCGCAAATGTGCCCCGTTATTTCAGCAACAGGACAGGTCAGAAATACACAAACATAAATGCGTGAAGAGCGTTTGGTGGACTCGGGTTCTGTCAGGCTGGTTATACAAGAAGGATAAACATTAAAACACACAAAATAAAGAAAGAGCAAGACGTGTGTGTTTGCGGATGAACGGAACAGAACAGGCGCGTCCAGAAGCGTTCTCGACCTTTTCTGCAGAAGGTTTAACTTGACACACCAAAACTAATATGAACGCAGTAAAACATAAAAAAAACAACAACAACATATTTCAGTATCGAATAGTAGCTATAGGCTAGGCCTACTTATTTTGGTTCCCGCTAAAAATAGCCAAATTGGAACTTTAGGGGGACGTTCTATGAACGTTCTAACGTTCTACACTAACAGCTGCATAAAGTAACAGTAAAAGATCAAAAGATATAAAATAATCATAATGCTTGAATTTATTTGTTATAACCTATGAAGCATCATTAATTCAAAAAATCACATGCAAATATTTATAGCCGATATTTAAAAATCAATGTTTTTATGGAATTACTTAATAAATCAACCTAGTGCCGTTTTATATCATGTTACTACCTTTTATAGCCTAGGCTACCTAAACGTTTTTTTTTTTTTTTTACTTCTTTATGGAAATTATGATCTTTTTTTTATTTTTATTGAAGGCAACATTTGGTACAAACAAGAAAAACCATCAATATACAATCAAACATTTGTACAGACATAGGCCTACCATACAAGAGACAACCAACAAAAGAAGAACAAACAAACAAATAAATTACATACATACTAAATAAAGGTGGAAAAATAAGAATATTTTTATAAATATTTTAATAATTAAATATTTAAATAAGGTCATAATATTGACACAAAAGTTTTCCATTCTTCTTGTTCTTTACAAGCTTGTTTGATTTAAGAAACATATTAAGTTCCAAAATATAATGTTTAAAACATAAGGAAGACTTATTAAATGTCTGCTTGTGTATAAAGAACTTAGCATTTACGATTATAAAGTTTAATACCTGGAAGGCTGGAAATTATGATCCGAAGGGTCAGATGACGAGTCTAACGCGTGACGCGACGCATCTGACGCGTGTGCACAAATGACACCACAAACAATTAAATGCAATCATCAGGAATTGTGTTTTAGTTTTTTCAGTGCCCTGCACATTTGATTAAAGTAGTTAATAATCGCTTACATTCAGTGATCAGTGTTTAAAAGTGCGATTGCTTGTGTTTGTGGAGTGTTTAGGATCCTATTCGCTTTATTTATCCGAAAACTCGGATTTTAGAATATATACAATAGGCTTTTTCCAACAAAGTGAAGAAACACTTACACTATCCACTCTCATATCTCCGCCCATATAAAGGTGACGAGAGAATTATGGCGAGACTTCAATAAGTGCATGAATTGCGCATGCGTGTGAGGAGGAGCTGACATGGCCGAAGCTGATGTGAAAAAGGTTTTGCAATTAAAGCATCAGCTGAAAGAATCCTGTGATGGACACACGGTAGGATCATGTCTGTCGTCAACACACACAGTTTGAATTGCTTTGCTCAACGCAAACAGGCTGAAAGATAAAGCCTCAGGGGCAAGTTGTCACGCAGGCTTGATCTCAGGCCTGAATCAAGCAAATCACAGTCTTCATTAAGAGTGCGTTAATGAGGTGAACTAATACATCAGTGTAGGGGGTTGACGTCTGTGATGCATTTAAACAAGTCAACTATATAATGAAGGTTCATTTATTTAACTGCTCAGGATTATTTTCCAAATGTGATGTTTGGGCGATTAGTCACGTGACCTATGTTACCTATTCCATCTTTGCTTTTTTGTTTGAAATTTCCCCGTAAAACAATTATATCAGTAATTCAAGTTTGACAACTAGCCCCTAAAGCCTGATTCATTGTTGAAAACATTGTTTAAAATGCCTTTGCAGTGTTTGCTTTAAGAAAGCAAAGAACCCAGATGCAACAATAGTACATTTTTTATAGTCTTTGTGATCGTTTTTGCGGTGTTATACAGTAGTCAACATTTAAAGTGGATCAAAACTTTTCATCAAAGTCATACATGAATTTTGAACTATACCTGGACAACTGTGATGACCTTTTTCAATCCACTTCAGATGTTGACTCATGTATTTGTACAGAAACTGAGTGAAATAAGCAGAAAAGGTGACCTGTTGAATGGAAGAAAGGGGGATGAAGGCAGCTGCTGAGAGAGGGAGGTGTGTGTGTGTGTGTGTGTGTGTGTGTTTCTAATAATACTCCTGCAGTTGTCTCTCATGTTCACTGTCTGTCAGATTGGCCAATCTGATTCTGTTTTGCCATGCAACATTTTGGTGACTTTTATAGTGCATCATTAAAGTACTTTGCTTAATATGTAAAACGAGAGTATTTTTCGTTTAAGGTGATGGCACAATTCATCGAGCCTGCGCATGTTGCACAGCCATGATGTGAATATTGTGTGTGTGTTAGCTGTTATTGCATGACCCATTTATAGAGCCTTGGCTGAGGTTTCTCCATACATAGCGATGCCTGACCAGAAAGCACTCGCTCAGCACATTCACACTATCAGACTGCATGTGGAAATGGGTGGGACTTCCTTTACCATGTTTAGACTGTATAAATGATTTCATATCATATATGACCTATTCAGTCACATGATCATTCAGAAATCATGTTTATCCTACCTTTTAAAAGTTTTACATCAGTAAGATCTAGATCTATATATATATATATATATATATATATATATATATATATAAAAATTCAGCTTTGATCACAGGAATAAATTACACTTTACTATATATTCACATAGAAAACAGTTACTTTAAATAGTAAAAATATTGTATTTTTGATCAAATAGCTATATATATGAGAATTATTTTCTGCTTACCATGGCTGCATCTATTTGATCAAAAATACAATATTTTTACTATTTGTAACTGTTTTCTATGTGACTATATACTATAGTGTAATTTAATCCTGTGATCAAAGATGAATTTTCAGCATCATTACTCCAGTCTTAAGTCACATGATCCTTCAGAAATCACTCTAATATGCGTATTTGATGCTCTAAAAATACTTCTTATCAACAGTTGTGTAAAAAACAATTCAGGAATTTTTGATGGATATAAAGTACAAAAGAACAGCATTTATCTGAAATACAATCTTTTGGAAAATTATGTCTTTACTGTCACTTTAAATGCATCATTGCTGAATGAAAGTATTCATTTCTTTCAAATACATAAACAAATCGTATTGACCCCCAATTAGTGTATAACGTTACAGAAGCTTTCAATTAAAAAAAATAAATGAATAAAAAAAAAAAAATATATATATATATATATATATATATATATATATATTAGGGCTGGGAAAGGATTAATCGCATCCAAAATAAAAGTTTGTGTTTATATAATATGTGTGTGTAGTGTGTATAATTATTTTGTATATACAAATACACACACATGCATGTAAACATTTAAGAAATATTTTCATTATATATTTTATATATATTTATACAAAAATTATATTATACATAAATATAAATATTTGATATATTAACACATTTTTCTTAAATATATACATGCATATGTGTGTATTTATATATACAAAATAATTATACACACTACGCACACATATATTATGTAAACACAAACTTTTATCTTGGATGCGATTAATCATTTCCCAGCCCTAATATATATATCTTTAACTTTAATTTTACGGACCATGGTGGAAGGACACTTAATTTCCCAGAATGCTCTGATTTACTTGGTTTACAAAAATGGGGCCAAACAACATAGATAGTTTTGCAATCTGGTAATCTTAACCAGAACTACCAAGAAGTTTCGTTCTGGCCAATTCTGTTGAAAAAACTGCTACCACACACCAACATTAAATTGATTTAATCTGTTCTTCTCCTCCATTATCCGTCTAATAAAGTAATTGAAATTCCAGCTCATGAATTGAATAACAGGCAAAATCAACTCATTCTTTCATTTGTCTTGCTTTGTTTAATGGACCTATTATTTCTATAATTTTAGCTGCTGAAAATCTTGAAGAAACTTGAAGCATTGGACATTACACTTGAAATCCTCTCTGTAAGAGATTAATGTATTTTTATTATTAAATATATCATAATTAGCTTTTTTTATTAGCTGTGACTGCTCTTGTCTGAACCTTCAATGCTTATACTTCAGGAAACTGGAATTGGAAAAGTCGTCAACTCCTTCCGGAAGCACGATGATGCGGGGAAGCTGGCGAGAGAATTGGTGAATCGCTGGAAAACACTCGTTCCAAAAGACTCTCTAAGGTCTTAAATATCTGTAATCGACCCCTTTTTCATTTAAGTGACCTTGTCCCGTTAGCATGTTGCACTCGTAGTCTTTTCTCTTGTTTTGTGTTGTAGTTTGAGAGGAAAGCCTGATGAAAGCCATAATGAGCCGTTTGGTGGAGAAGTTCAGGAAAACAGCTGTCTTTCAGAGAGCACCAACTCTAGAAGAAGACCAAAGATGGAGAATTCCTGTGCAGAGAAGAAAATATCACATATTGTTGGGAAAAAAGACAAAATCAAGCCCGGTAAATCCAAACTCTACGTGAATGGGGAAAAAATGGATGAGCCAAAACAAGATTCGAGTGTGAATCAGGACCACGGCAAGGAGAAGACAATGAAGCTTTCTGGCATAGCAAAGAAACAGCAGGACACAAAACTGGAAAAACCTTTGAAAGCATCTCAAACGCAGAGAGAGAAGAGTGGAGAGAGCAAGGAGAAGCGTGAGAAGGCCAAAGACGGATCCGCCTCGAGGGAGGGCGAGATGCCCACGGGCGAAGGCTTTGAGGAGCCCTCCATGTCGTTCGAAGCGTACTTGAGCTACGACCTGCAGACCAGCAAACGCAGGAGAGCCTTCAGCGCCGCTAAGAGCCCGAGGAAGAGACTCAAGCCTACACACACCGAGAGACTCAAGCCTGCACACTCAGACCAGTCCCGGGCGTCTCTGAAGGCCAGCACGACTGCGAGAGAACAGCCAATAACAGCGGTACGACAAACAAAACTGATGTTAGACTTTACTTCAAACCTTATATATACATATACACTCACCTAAAGGATTATTAGGAACACCACACTAATACTGTGCTTGACCCCTTTCGCCTTAACTCTACGTGGCGTTGATTCAACAAGGTGCTGAAAGCATTCTTTAGAAATTTTGGCCCATATTGATAGGATAGCATCTTGCAGTTGATGGAGATTTGTGGGATGCACATCCAGGGCACGAAGCTCCCGTTCCACCACATCCCAAAGATGCTCTATTGGGTTGAGATCTGGTGACTGTGGCGGCCATTTTGGTACAGTCAACTCATTGACATGTTCAAGAAACCAAATTGAAATGATTGGAGCTTTGTGACATGGTGCATTATCCTGCTGGAAGTAGCCATCAGAGGATGGGGACATGGTGGCCATAAAGGGATGGACATGGTCAGAAACAATGCTCAGGTAGGCCGTGGCATTTAAACGATGCCCAATTGGCACTAAGGGGCCTAAAGTGTGCCAAGAAAACATCCCCACACCATTACACCACCACCACCAGCCTGCACAGTGGGAACAAGGCATGATGATCCATGTTCTCATTCTGTTTACGCCAAATTCTGACTCCATCTGAATGTCGAGACTCATCAGACCAGGCAACATTTCTCCAGTCTTCAACGGTCCAATTTTGGCAAACTCTTGCAAATTGTCGCCTCTTTTTCCTATTTGTGGTGGAGATGAGTGGTACCCGGTGGGGTCTTCTGCTGTTGTAGCCAATCCGCCTCAAGGTTGTGTGTGTTGTGTCTTTGCGGCATACCTCGGTTGTAACGAGTGGTTATTTCAGTCAAAGTTGCTCTTCTATCAGCTTGAATCAGTCGGCCCATTCTCCTCTGACCTCTCGCATCAACAAGGCATTTTGGCCCACAGGACTGCCATCGCATACTGGATGTTTTTCCCTTTTCTCACTCCATTCTTTGTAAACCCTAGAAATGGTTGTGTGAAAATCCCAGTAACTGAGCAGATTGTGAAATACTCAGACCATGCCACGCTCAAAATTGCTTAAATCCCCTTTCTTTCCCATCCTGACATTCAGTTTGGAGTTCAGGAGATTGTCTTGACCAGGACCACACCCCTAAATGCATTGAAGACACTGCCATGTGATTGGTTGATTAGATAATTGCATTAATGAGAAATTGAACAGGTGTTCCTAATAATCCTTTAGGTGAGTGTATGTATAGTATAATGCTTTATAACAGTATTTTAATGCAATAATATGCCTTGAAATGCACCTTATAATGCATACATGACCTCATGACGGCCAACAACATCACCAGGCACGTTTATAAAAGCTACTGTAAATATCCTAATAAAATGTGAGGTCAACAGAGCTTCAAATGGGACACAGCAGGTTTATATGAGTTATTTGCGTGAACTCTCGGTTTGACTCCAGGCTCCTGAGCGGTCCGTGATGGACTTGTTAAACGTTCCTTTGCCGACGAGTTTTCCCGAGTGTGAGGATATGTCTCAGTATCAGTACTTCAGTGAAAAGAAAGGTGGGTCAAAGTTTTGCATCTACACCACGGGGTCACTCCGTTCCCATAAAACATTGTGTGTGTGTGTTTGACCCTTACACACTGCGTCCAGTCGACAGAAAGCCGAGTGAAGTGTGTGAAGAGGCTCCGCTCCTCATCGGCCAGCGGCTCAGGAATAAGATGCAGGTGTACTCCGGCAGTAAGACGATGTTTCTGCCGTCGATGATGACGCTGTACCAGCAGTGTATCCGAGCGCTGCAGAACAACATCGACTGTACGGTACCGTCCTGACGTTACTCCTGCACGGGTGAGGCGAGCTTGCTTGTAAAGCCGGTGTGTGTTTCGCAGTGCTCTATGAAATCGGAGGAGTGCCGTTTGAGATCCTGGAGCCGGTGCTGGAGCGGTGCAAGCCGGAGCAACTTCTGCGCATCGAGGAGTTCAATCCAGTAAGAAGGCTTTCATAGCGAAGCTGCGTTCACACTACACTGAAGGTGCGTTCCATTCGACCGTAAGTGGACTGCGAAGTGGACTTCACAGGGTATCTCGCCATCTTAAGTGAGATTCCAATTCGAAGGGCACTGCAAACGGCGTAGGGAATAAGGGAACATCGATACATCATTTCACAGGAAGTCAGTGAAGTCCACTTCAACTGATATACCGTGTTCAGGGAGTAGGGAGCAGTGAACACTAGGGTTGGGTATCGTTTGAATTTGAACGATTCTGATTCCTTGTTTCGATTCCGGTTCCTAACGATTCTCGATTTCGATTCTTTTAAGAGGCAGGGTCAAAAAAGTTTAGCTAACCTTGCTAACCAACGGCCTTTCTGAAGGAAATACTCCTTCTGTCACAAATACTTGTCACAAATTTTGCATTTTGCCGAGCTTTCGTTAATTTTTAGAAAAGTGAAGCCACACTTTGGATCGGTGACGTAAGGTACTCATGTTCGACTCGCGCGGTTATGCCAACACTTCCGGTAGACGCTTCTTCGTTGGTGTTGTTCAGCGGTTTCTTCTTCCGCTCGGCGGACTGAATATCGAAACTAAGAATTGAAATTTTAACTTTTGAACGATTCCGGGAAAAACGAAAAGTTAGTCTCGGTTCCAATCGATACTCGATTCTCGATACCCAACCCTAGTGAACACTGACTAGGGACCCTGTCGAATGGAACGCACCTTGACTGTGTTAGTTCGCGGGAGGGCGTTCCCACTTCTGGTTGACTAGTAATGTTTGTGAGTGACTACTCTATTGTAGACAGCGAATACGTTTTCTTGTTATGACGGATATGAAAACTTTTTCACTAGGGCTGCACGATTAATTGAATTTTTATCACGATTTTGGCTAACGATACACAAAACTGACGGTTCGGTTTTCCCACGGTTTTGACGTCTCGGTTCGGTTTAGAAAGCTAAAATTGCTTTTTTTGTTTGTTTTTTTAAACGGTGGTTTAATGAAAAAATTGTCTTTGTCTTTAAATTAATTCAATTACAATGAAACGTTTCACAAGGATTCAAAAAAATTGCTAATGCTATAAACTATGTAGTAGAGCCAGACCGATTTATCGGCAGGCCGATATTATCGGCCGATATTAGGCATTCTCCAAGCTATCGATATCGGCAGTTATAATGGCCGATAAATGAATATCTAAAAAATAAAATAAAAACGGACGTGTTTTGTTGCGCGTTTCTGAAAAAAAAAAAATATCGGCCGACATATCGGATTTTGAAACCAACAAATATTTGTATTGGTATCTGCCTTCAAAATCCTTTATCTATCGGGCTCTGCTATATAGGGAGCCGTACATTACTATAACATTAGAGGTTGTAGTCTAGACTTTTAACCTAAATAAGCTAGTACAGCGATCTGTCACGCCACATCAAAGAGCGCCAAAACGCCATTCATTGTTTGAATTTCATGATCAAATAGACAGAATTTGAAAGATTACAGATTGCTTATTATCGAAAGTAGAGCCCGACCGATAAAGGATTTTGAAGGCCGATACCGATACAAATATTTTGGGGTTTTAAAATCCGATATATCGGCCGATATTTTATTTATTTATTTTTTAAAACTGGACATGATAGTCACAAATTTTGTCATGTTTATTTGAGTTAAGAGAACTGATGGGGATGTTCTTTTAATTGTTATTCAAACAATGTATGTATCGTGACCAACTCAACGAGTGTTTCCAACGGGAATGGTGTATAGTGCCCTCTGGTGGACAAACTATACAGCTCCAACACTCATGACATGGTTTTCGTGTTTCGTCCGTTTTTATTTTATTTTTGAAACATTCATTTATCGGCCATTATAACTGCCGATACCGATAGTTTGGAAAATGCCTAATATCGGCCGATAATATCGGCCTGCCGATATATCGGTCTGGCTCTAATTGAAAGTATCAAAACACAGAGCTTGTTATTTGGTGTTAATGATGATTAGGCTGCAAAACTGAATTTGTTGTGTAGGGCTGGGCGGGGCTGGTGTAGCAGGGGGCAGGGCTGGGGTAGCAGGGGGCGGGGCGGAGTGTGTTCGGTACGCAATGAGAGTATCGCGATTCGAATCATGAATTCTCTATCGCGGTTTTTCGGTTCGGATATCGTTACGCCCCTACTTTTCACAATATTCTAATTTTGACTTTGGGGTTTTCATAAGCTGTAAGCCATAATCATCACAATTATAACCAATAAAGGCTTGAAATATCTCACGTTGCATGTAATGAGTCTATATTATATATTAGTTTCACCAAGTTGAATTACTGAACTTTTGCACGATGTTGTAGTCTTTCGAGTTTCTCCTGTATGTATTAGTGCCCAGACTTGTGAGTGAGATGTTTTCCCGCAGGTGTATATTGGGGAGACGGACCACCTGTGGGAGAGGCACTGTATGAAGGACTTCCGAAACGCCCAGCTGGAGGAGTACGAGTCCTGGAGAGAGATGTACCTGCGCATGTCCGAGGAGCGGGAGAGGAAACTGCAGCTGCTCACCAAGAGCATCGTCTCCGCTCACTCCGGCAAGCCCAAAGGTAGTGGCGTCCGCATTATATATATATATATATATATATGCATATATATATATATATATTAGGGCTGTGCAAAAATTAATTGCGATTAATCGCATCCAAAATAAAAGTCTGTGTTTACATAATATATTTGCGTGTGCTGTATATAATTATTTTGTATATATAAATACACACACATGTATGTATATATTTAAGAAAATGTGTTATTCATATATAAAATATTTATATTAGGGCTGTGCAAAAATTAATTGCGATTAATCGCATCCAAAATAAAAGTCTGTGTTTACATAATATATTTGTGTGTGCTGTATATAATTATTTTGTATATATAAATACACACACATGTATGTATTTATTTAAGAAAATGTGTTATTCGTATATAAAATATTTATATTTATATAATATAGATTATGTATTTATATACATATACAGAATTTAAGCACAAATAATTCTTAAATATATACATGCATGCATAGGTATTTATATATACAAAATAATTATATACAGCACACACAAATATTATGTAAACTCAGACTTTTATTTTGGATGCGATTAATTCCAATTAATTTTTGCACAGCCCTAATTTATATTTATATAATATAGATTATGTATTTATATACAAATACAGAATTTAAGCACAAATAATTCTTAAATATATAATTGCATGCATAGGTATTTATATATACAAAATAAGTATATACACCACACACAAATATATTATGTAAACACAGACTTTTATTTTGGATGCGATTAATCGCAATTAATTTTTGCACAGCCCTAATATATATATATTATTTAAACATGGCCTATAATTTTTTATTAAAAATAATTTTTATAAATATAATTTTTTATTATTAATTATTTTAGTTTTATTTTTACATTTTTATCTTACAATTCTTAACTTTTTCTTGCATTTGTGTGTTTATATCTCCCAGTTCGGACTTTATAACTCGCGATTGTGAGTTTATATCACAGTTCTGCAGGAAAAATTGTAAAATTGCGGGATAAAAATGTGCAATTCTGAAGGAAAACGAGCATATCTCTCAATTCTGTTTATCACTCTAAGAATTGTGAGATAATAAACTCAGATTTGCAAGAAAAAAAAAAGAGTTGAGAAACTCGAAATTAACTTTTTTTGTTCTTTTATTTTGTGGCTTCCACAGATTTCTAAAAAAATCGCCCACAAAAGCGTCATCGCTGTTTGCAAACAATAAATGGGTCTATAAATGCAGTCATGCTAGCTGGTTTGTAGACTGTCCGCTGAGATTTAATGCTACGATCTAATTCAGCGCTAACAGGCCGACATTCATTAACTGTGGGGATAATACTGTGGGGATAATGTGTAAGTGTAAGCCTGCTCTTGAAGTGTGTGTGACGGCTCATAAATGCGGTCTCTGACCATCTGTCGGCTCAGACTATGAATAGACTTAAAGAGCAACTGTGAGTTTGGGGTTAATGGCGAAACCCAGAGCGATGGGTACTGGACCTGCTCGATTAATCATTAACCAATCGTGATCTCGGTTCAAACACACACACACGATCTTAGTCCTAAACGACTCTCTATTTAACCTTAAATGGAGAATGATGATTGACAGGCCAGTTACTGTGACAGGATGATTGACGAGTCAGTTTACATTGACAGGTCATTTTGTGACTGCCATTATAACACTGCGGTCACATGTTTGATCAACTCAAACATCTCTCTCTCTCTCTCTCAGGAAGGCAGTTGAAGATGGCGTTTATTCACTCGGCTGCTAAGCCTCCTCGAAACGTGCGTATCCAGCAGGAGATCCACGGCACGGCCGGCCCCGTGACCCAAGCTCACCCGACAGACAGAACCAGGTCCGTTCTCTCGCAAATACACTGCAAACTCAAGCGCAAACACATTCTTGGCTCAAAGCTGCTCTTAAAGTTAGTTACCAAGCATCTCAGTCGTCATTTAAAGCCCCTTTCCACTAGATGTGATGTACATCTATAGCGTCCCCAGAACGTGTCTGAAATTTCAGCTCAAAGTTCCCTCTAGATATTTTATTATAGCTCGTCGTATTTTCCCCTTTGTGGGTGTGAGGAGAAAAATGAAAGTGTATGTCCCTTTAAATGCAAATGAGCCCTTTCAGAAGAGGGCGGAGCCGTTACACGAGCTTCAGAGACTACACAGGCCAATCTCACTGATCCAGAATCAGGAATAACTAGCAGCGAGAGACTCGCTTTTACACGTTTCTGAATGTTAGCGGAGACATTTATGTAGTTGTGGAGTTATGCTGCGTTCGAGTCATCTCGTATAGATCGTAATTACGAGTTGAACGCCACCACAATGTCGTAAATACCAGTGGGGAGCTCGGGATTTTCTTTAAGCTTCGATCTGTACGAGTCAGTGAGAAACGTTCATTCAGCGTCTGTTGACGGTAAATTTTAATTGAATTTCAATGTTTACTCATTGACATTGTAAGGCTTTTTCATTTATAAAGCAAGCTCTCGGCACAAAATATGATATCATTGTAATATAAATATTATACCTAATGATAGAGTTTACATTGGCTTCATAAGCTAATAAAAAAACATAAAACACACCTGATGCGCATTCTTTGTTCTTCATTTTTTTTTTATTAGCAGAGTGAACAAACCTTGCTGTATTTTCGTGTAGTTCATTAAAAGTAGGTACACCGCCATTTTGCTCCGACGAAACTGACTTGAACGCACCTCACGTCGTAAACACGACTTCCCACCTCGTACGTACGAACTTCCCAGGAGGACTTGAACGCAGCATTACACTGATCATCTCATCATCGTCATGTTGAACTCTTCCACAAGTGTCCACAGTTCCTGAGACAGTGTTTATAAGACAGCGGTGACATGTTCTGGTCAGTAGTGTTCAGTGTCGTCTGTGATTCAACCACTGAACCGTTTCAGGCTGGATCCTCCCCAGTGCGTTAGAACTGGGCTCTGTTGGCGCTCGCCGAACCGAGTGTGGAAACGTGCAGATTAGGGGCCGGGAAATTTTTTTTTTTTTGCTGATAATTTACTCACCCCCGTGTCATTCAAGATGTCCATGTCTTTATTTCTTCAGTCGAAAAGAAATGAAGGTTTTTGATGAAAACATTGATCCAGGATATTCTCCATATAATGGACTTCAATGGGGACCAAACGGTTCAAGGTCCAAAAGACAGTTTCAGTGCAAACTGTTCAAAGGGTTTTAAACGATTCCAGACGATGAATAAGGGTCTTATCAAGGACCCTTCGAGTCATGACTCGAAAAAAAAGATTTGTTCATTTTGATGAACAGGAGAGTCACAAACGCGCATCACAGAACTGAGCAAGGCGAGGGATCATTTGAGCTTATAAAACTTAAACTTTGTTATTTATTTATTAAATAACCGATCGTTTCACTTGATAAGACCCTTATTCATCGTCTAGAGTCGTTTAAAGCCCTTTGAACAGTTTGCACTGAAACTGTCTTTTGGACCTTGAACCGTTTGGTTCCCATTGAAGTCCATTATATGGAATGTTTTCATCAAAAACCTTAATTTCTTTTCGACTGAGGAAAGAAAGACATGGACATCTTGGATGACATGGGGGTGAGTAAATTATCAGCAAAAGTTTTTTTAAAAGTGAACTACTCCTTTAAGTTTGAAAGTAGGAGTAAATCTGAGCACTTACGACTGAATGGCGGTTCGAGATCCCTCAGGAGATCTCAGTCGTTTGCTCGTCACTAATAGATTCATGTCATCAGTGTGTCTTCCCCCCTCAGCAGTGTGAAACCCGTTGAGATCCGGGGCAGATCCGGCTTCAGTGAGGCTGTGAAACCCTCCGCTAACTCCGGCTCCGGTCCGGCCCAAGACCCGCGCAAGATCAAGCGTGAGTTCCACACTTTGTGTTTTGCCCCGTCCAGTCCAAATATCTCAAGATCGAGATGCGTTCACCACAGGTGAAACTGGGAAAACTAGAAAATTGTGCAATAAAGTTCATTTATTTCAGTAATTCAGCTTAAAAGCTGAAACTAATATATTAAATAGACTCATTACTTGCAAAGTGTAATTTTATTAGTTATGATTTTGATTATGGATAACAGATATGAAAACCTTAACAAAATTCTAATTTTGAATTTTGGGGCAAAAAAAAGGATTTTTAAATGCAAATAATTGTAATTGAAACAGAAACCAGATTATTTCTAACATAATTTGTAAATCATTTTGCTTGTTTATTTATTCAGAAAACACGACATAATATCTTACTATTTTACTCATCTATTAAAGACATCCTGATATAATAATTTTTTAGATATTTGGACTGGAAACTATAAAAAAAACACTAACAATTATTATTTTTAATTGCAGTATTTTGTGCATTATTGGTAAAGTTTGGAATAATTGATTTTTTTGTTTTATGTCACCTTCTGCTCAACAAGGCTTCATTTATTTGATACAATATCTTGTAAAAACAGCAATATTGTGAAATGAAACTGATTTCTATGTGAATATTTAGTAATATTTGATTAATTCCTGTGACCAAAGCTGAATATTCAGTGTCACATGATCCTTCAGAAATATAATAATAAGCTCAACTATTATTGGTTCTCAATTATTTATAATGGTTATTTATTATCAATGTTGAAAATGTTTTTTTTGCTACTTCATATTTTTGTTTACTTTTTTTCTCAGGATTCTTTGATTTATAGAAAGTTCAAAAGAACAGCATTTTTTTTTAAATAGAATCTTTATTAACATAATTAATGTATTTACTGTCACTTTAATGCAGCATTGATAATCATAACTGTTTCTTGAGCGTCAAATCACCACATTATAATGATTTCTGAAGGATCATGTGACTCTGAAGACTGGAGTAATGATGCTGACAGGAATAAATTACATTTTTACTAGATATTCACATAGAAAACAGCTTATTTACAGTACATTCTTATAATATTTCTTAATACTGTTTTTATTGTGATTTTATTTTTAATCAAATAAATGCAGCCTTGGTGAGCAGAAGAGACTTCTAAATCTTACTGATCTCACTGTTTATTGAACACATCCTGCATGAATAAGGCCATGGAGCAGTGTGTGTGTTCCTCAGTGTCATGTGTGTGTTGACAGGAGTGGCGCCCATGATGGCCAAATCCCTGAAGGCCTTCAAAAAGCAGATCAACCGCAGATGAACTGATATTACACAGATATGCACTCCCTGGAACACACTTATCGGCCAAATAGTTTGGAAATATTTTTTTTTTCAATGTTATTTGTAATTTCACAGGATGATCAACATAGTACTTATTTGTACTAACAATAATTGCACTTTGAAATCTATCCATCTCTTTGTATTGATTTTTTTCTATCATGACAATCACAATTTAAATTCTGAAATTAAAAGTATAATAACCTGCCTGTGTGTGTGGTTGAAGTGTGTGTTTGTCTCCATCTAGTGGATGTGGACTGCATTTACTTCAGTTCTGACATGATGGATCCGCTTAAAGTCCATATAATCATGTATGCAATAGTTAGGATAGGATATAAATGAGTATATCAGATATATCAGGGTTTTTGTTTTCTTTTTTTTTTGGTGCAAGTTAATGTTGGTAATCTGATTAATATATTAATATTAAGTATACTAATGCAATATTTGTCATCTGTTAGAAGGCACTGTAAAACCCAACTCATTTCATTTGAGGAAACCGATTGCCTCGGTTCATTTAAGTTTATAAAAAAAAAACAATAGTTATGAGTACTCTGAACTTATTTTATTCGAGTTCACTAAAACAATAATATTTCTTAAAACACAATTAAACTGCATTTAATACTGTATATAGCTTAAACTTCACTTTTTTGAGTAAAAACTTTAAATTAACTCCTACTGCTAGCTCACAATATCACAGTCAAAGTCAATTAGTTAAACTAACTCATTACATTTGAGGAAACCGATTGCCTCAATTCATTTAAGTCTATAAAAAACTATAGTTATGAGTACTCTGAAATAATTTCACTTTATTGCAGTCAAGAAATTAAGTGATTGTTGAGCATTAATGATGAACACCTGCTGTTAACGTCTCTAAAAGAAAGAGAAACACGAGAATTACAACTGAATTACAACCACAACATTAGATGAAATCAACTGAAGATAAGATAAATCTCTGAAGATCTCAGCATGGAGGATTGAACAACTCCACAAACAGCATTACCAGCTTCTCTTATTACTAACCAGTTTGATCATGTGTCTACAGAAGTTGTTATTGGGAATGAATAGAGGTTTAGATGAAGATGATTTATTGAGTTTCATTTAAAGACACCATGATAGTGGTCAGTGTATTTGTTATAACAAATATTTCCACATGATGAGACAAACACTGCCAGTTTACTGACACTACAGTTTAAGATGATCGTGATTTCACCAAGTACATGTTGCTGGATCCATCTTTCCAATCAACCAATCAGATTTGAGGGACAAGTTTACAGTTTATGTCAAGTTTAGCCTTAGAACGAGGATGAAGTACTTAAACATCAGTGTTATTCTCCTATCATTACCCTGTAGGGGTAGGGTTAGGGGTAAGGACTACATTTTGGGACAGCAATGTTGATCCAGGATCAGCTCTTACTCGGCATGAGTTACTCTGTTCAGACGTGATGTAGAGTTATGATGTTTTGAACAGTTGTGACAATCGAGTTCACAATTTAGAGAATGTTAAGACTGTGGAAATGTGCTAAAGCGATTGAGAAAAACTGTAAAATGTATATATTTTTTTTAAATCTCGTAAGATAACAGAAAAATCTAATATGAAGGAATAACCAACACTAGCACAATCTGTTGCACTAAAGAGTTTGATCTTTCTCATTTACACCTGGAAATAAAGATTTAGCATTTTGAAAACAAGAAAAACTACATGCATAAGAAATATTAAAAGAAATCAAATAAGCTGAAATGTGTATAAAACTATATTACACTATATATATATATACTATAATATAGATAGATAGATAGATAGATAGATAGATAGATAGATAGATAGATAGATAGATAGCATAGATAGCATAGATAGCATAGATAGATAGCATAGATAGATAGCATATAGATAGATAGATAGATAGATAGATAGATAGATAGATAGATAGATAGATAGATAGATAGATAGATAGATAGATAGATAGATAGATAGATAGATAGATAGTTTTTTTTGTAATAATGATATAACTTGTTGAATGTCACATCACACTTCAGGGACAGCAGGTGTGTTATGGGAACTGTAGTTCATGTTGTTCATCTGACGGTGGTGTGTGTGTGTGAGTGTGTGTGTGTGCAGGGAGGGAGGGATTGAGCGACAGAAAGAAAGAAGGGAGGAGCCGATGGGATTCGTGACGTCGACCTGGAATGAGGGAGTGAATGTTCCGGGTCAGAAACTGGACTAAGAGGAAATAAACTCCGGGATGAGAAAAACTACGGAATAAACGCAGCTAAACAGACATGTAACCGCTTACAAAGAAACACACGGTACTCTCCTCAGCCTCCCTGATAAAGATGTGGCGAGAAAGGTGAAAAAAAGCGGAAAGAAAACTGCAGAAGTGGAGCGCGACGTGTTTATTATTGAATGTTTGTGCGCGTGAGATCCATAGATTGTGATCGACACTAGTTGCTCCGGCGCGCTCTCGCCGTTCCCGTTTTTTATTATATAGAGATATTTTTTAAAAACTTTTCCAGCATTCGGAGTTAATTTCTCCAGGGTTTTGCTCGTGATGTTTCACTGTATCCCCCTGTGGCGGTGTAACCGTCACATCGAGTCGATCGATAAGCGCCACTGCTCGCTCCTCTTCGTCCCGGATGAGATCTATCGATACCGAGCGAGTTTGGAGGAGCTCCTGCTGGACGCGAACCAGCTCCGGGATCTTCCCAAGGTAAGACATCTGTCCTGGCTGACACTCTTCTTAAATGAATGAGAAGCATTTGTGGGCCGACGAGCTGTGTGTTTACACAGCAAAGGTGCGCTCGGGGTCGGCAGGTGTGTGTGTGTGTGGGTGTGAGAGGCATCAGCAGTTTTTGGGCGAGTTTATGAGTTATGTTACGAGTCACAATGCAGTTTTGGACATCAAAAGTGGCGTTTCAGTTTAATAATCGAGTTATTGTCAGTAGCTGCAGGCTTCTTAGCAACAACATACATACGTAATCATCATCATATAATTTCTGAAGGATCATGTGACACTGAAAACTGGAGTAATGATGCTGACAATTCAGCTTTGATCACCAAATTGCATTTCAAAATGTAGCCTACTAAAATAAAAAATAATAATAATAAAAAACGTATTAATTTTTATACGCAACAATATTAGTGCTTACATTTTAAAGTCCCCGCAAAGTTATCACTCACTCAGAGATCCACTGGTTGATCTGATTGGTTACAAGGTCGTTTGTGACGTCAGAAACACCAGCGATTTCACAGCGTGTTTTTGAGACTGTCTTTGGTTCACTGCAGTTTTAAGGTGGAAATACTCAGCAATGCTGTCCACTTATGAAATTACACATGATGGTGTGTCTCAAAGCATATTAAAACCACCACATACACACAAACAACATTAAAAGCTTGAGTTTCACCATAGGGGTACTTTAAACATTGTAAACCTTTGACTGGTGTGTGTGCTGTACTTTTGTGGCATCAGGTGTGTACAAATCAGCAGCAGGTTTGACTCACACACACACACACACACACACACACACACTGAGAGTCAGTCAGCATTGTTTGAATCATAGACATAATTTGAGTCAGCAGCATTTTTGGGCTTCAGATACATGTTTTAAATGATGTACGAATAACAACTCTATGATGCCCAAAATGCTATATTTTATGAACGCACCTATGACTCTCTAATGTGCTGTCTAGTTAGGTAGATCACGAGGCTTTGAAACCGGACCACTGTCATTCATTGTGCAGGCGGCAGAGAACACTACAACTCAGCAAAATGTGTTTGAGAAAAACATTGTGGGGCCTGAAATATCAGTGTGTGTGTTCCCAGCGAACTCTCGGGAAATATCCTGGCAGAAAACTCAATGGCTTTAAGTTCAAACCCCACAAGGAAGGATCCTAGAACTAGTAGGGCTATCGTTTTAATTGAATTTTGATTCTGCTTATTGATCCCTAATTTCGATTCTAATAAGGTTAAAACAAAAACAACAAAAAATAAAATAAAATAGCTATCATTCAAATATAGTCTTATTGCAAAACATTTAATTGCAGCTGAGCATCATGAACAAAGATCGACAGGCTAGAGAACACTATAAAAAATACCAAAGAAAAACAACTAGCCTAACTAATATACATTTCAAGCATTATTAAAGACAAGTAAACACTCGGTAATTAAAAAAGAACCTTTAAAAAATAGCAATCGCAAAAAATTGATACAACTGAACAAAGAAACGAATGAAATAAACAGTGTTTGAAGATTTTCAGGTACAAAAACTGTAATCAAATGTTAAACACTGCAGTTTATAAATAAAATACACATTTCAAAAGTTATTCAGTGAAGAACGAGTGAATTTTCTCTTTGTTGTTTGATTAGTGTTATTATAGACGGCAGGAATATTGGTGCTGTCCCTTTAAGAGCTGTACGGATCCGATACACGCGAGAACAGAAAACGCTTCATTGGTTTAAAGAGGAATGAGAGGAATCGAATTTTAAATTTTATAACAAGATTCCCAACTTTACGTACAAGTAAAGCTGCGAAATCAAGGCCCTGGCCTCACTCTCGCAGAATCAATCGCAAGCACACGCTCCTGCACTTAAAAAAATTAATTATAGGAGTTTATATATTAATTTTAAAGCTGCAATCTCCTCAGTCCTCCGAAGATCCCCCCAAAAAAGTCTGTTGGTGCTTCTACTTCGCTCAGAAAACCTGTTAATCATGACGTCACACCACCACCGCATCAAACTTATTTTAAAAACAAACACTTGAAATTATATCAGCATGATCAAAAACTACAGTAAATGCAAGGACCATATTTGGAAAAATGATATTTGAAGTGTAATTTAATTGTTTAGTTGGTTGAATAACACAGGGAGGCGGGGTTTATGACGTATACTAGGACCGGGCACTGGGGGGCGATCGAGACGCTTTGGCTTCACTTTTCAAGACTTTTGTGGCACGTTTGCGTACAACACAAAAGTGCCGTGCTATTACTCTACGTGAACACACTCGAGGCCTAGAGAAGGAAATGAATAGTTGAATAAAAGTCGATTTGTCTTTGAGCGCCCCCAAGTTGTGTTTTACAGTAACTTCAGAAGCTCTAAACACGTGAGCAAAAGCGCCAATCTCATTGGTCGGATAGTTTTCGATGCAGCGCGTCAAACTAAAAAAACGAACCCGAGGCGTTTTTAAATGGCATTTTTACGCGTTGGTGGGCACACTCACATTGGCGCCCTTTGTTTAGTCACGAGGCGTTAAACATCGGTGAATAACGCGCGCGAAATTCGTCCTGGTGTGAACAGTCCTTAAGGTTGAGCCACTGTCGTCACTCGAACTATTTTAACGATGTCTTTAAGAACTTTTCTAGGCCGGTAAGTTTCGATCCCTTAGAAGCCTATGGAGGAGTGATCCAGCTCTCAGATTTAATCGCAAATATCTTAATTTGTCTTCTGAAGATGAACCGAAAGACTTACCGGGAACAACATGAGGGCGTGAGTTTACGTTTGAGTGCACTGTCCCTTTAAAGGCTCCTAACCGTGATGAAATCCCTTCATTGGTGCATCAACTCAAAAAGCCTTTCCCTTTCGTTTACTTGGATCACACTTCTAGGATTACAGATTACACAAGGAAAACAGCGAGGTTGTAAAGAGTGCTGATAGCATCGCTCGCTGTGATTCTGTACCATGTAATGAATTAAATCTTCCAGAGCAATGAAATGCTTTGCGCTTCTTCTTCAAAGGCAATAAAACATTGAAGACGATCACGTCAGTCTTACGTGAGCTTGATCTGTGTGGGCTCTCTTGAAGGATAATCTTGTTTTAGGGAATTCCAGGGTATTTCCCTCGCAAGTGTGTTTGGTGAAGACTTTGAGCCGGTTTCATGCAGGATAAAGTCTCTTTCATGAGAAAGGAGATCCACTTCTGCAGCTCACGAATATGCGGTTTTGTCTAATTAGTAGCTGTGATTTTTGTCTAATTAATAGCTGGTATTGGTCTCCACCGTATCTTTGCTGGGATAAAAACATTGAAGCTGTGTTTTTTATTAGAGAGACATGTGGAAACGTGAAACGCCAGTAAATTGGCTGTGTGTCAGAGAGTGTTTGAACTGAATGCATTCCGGTTTTTAACCATTTATTGTTGAAGCAGCTTGAACCGTTGAATTCAGATATCATTTATTCGTGTCTGAACATGTTTACCTGTGGCTCTGTCCAATTAATACTTTTAAGGGAACTGCTTTTACACTCTTCAAAAATAAAGGTTCTTTATTGGCATTGATGTTTCCATGATGCACCTTTAACATATGGTTTAATGTTGTTTATGTGTCTATGTGGTGTTTTTAATCATGTGTAAGTTCATTGCTGAGTATTTCCTCCTTAAAACGGCAGTGAACCAAAGACAGTCTCAAAAACACGGTTTGAAATCGCTGGTGTTTCTGACGTCACAAACCACCTTGTAACCAATCAGATCAACGTGTGATCGTCAACCAGTGGATCTCTGAGTGAGTGAGTGGAGGCGGGGCTCATTTGCATATTCATAGAACACGTATACTAAATGAGGAAAGGGTGTCGAGTTACATTCAAGATATTTTAAGGCATGAAGATGTTTTTTTCAAGGAAAAAACGTTTAAATTAGGGCTGTCAGTTTAACGCGTTATTAACGCCGTTAACGCAAACCCATTTTAACGGCGTTAATGTTTTTATCGCGCGCTCAACGCTCTTTTTGTCCTAGCAAACTTTGTAGTTTTTTTCAAAACTATGCGTCCTGATCCATTTCGGCGTCTCGCGCTCGTCATCCACTCAAAGCCGGCTCGCAAGCCGAAACGCGTGTTTGCGGCGTGCCTGTTGTGTTGTTTACGGTCTAGCTACACCTGCTTGCACTTTGTTCGAAGAAGCAACAAAATGTCCTCGCGTGGCGCAAGCCATTGTATTGAATGGGTTTCAGAGCGCAGCGCAAGGACGTTTTGTGCTGCACAAACTCGTTTCGGCTTGCGAGCCGCCAAAATAGTTGGCTAATGTTACGTTTTGAGTGGATGACGAGTGCGAGACGCCGAAATGGATGCGCTAAGATTCTGAATGGAAAGTTTACTTTTAAAAAGTTGCCAAATTGTCCCATTGACAAGACCAAGTGATCTGTGTGTGTTGTCATTGTGAACTGAGCGATCATCATCGCAGCTCGTCCAGTCTGAAACACCACTTGATGATGGCCAAGCAAGCACACACACACACACACACACACACATACACACACAGATGATGCGAATTCTCCACCCCCTCGTCAATATCAGGACCTCGTCAGTATTTCTTTCACCCTTTTATTGATAGACAGTGTTTCATTGTGTGAGAGTTTATTTATATATGTTAGTGTGAAATTGAATATTGAAATTTTCAATAATAATAATAAAAACATTTGCACTAAACAAGCCAATCCACTTTTCCATGTTGATAAGAGCATTAAAATGAGAAAAAATAATGTAACAAAAAGAAATCAAGAGACTTAGAATAGATAAAAATGTGTGATTAATCGCGAGTTAACTATGACATTAATGCGATTAATCGCGATTAAATATTTTAATCGTTTGACAGCACTAGTTTAAATACGTCATTGGTGATCAGGGATGAGTTTTGGGATTCAATCATTGAGGGGGACTTTAACATCTATTGAACCTTTTCATTCCTCGAAAGGTTCTTTATAGCGGAAAAAGATTCTTTAGATTATTAAAA